CTTCTAAGCAATTACCGATCTACAACATCTGTATATTGCCAACTACAAGTAAAATACGAGGTCCTTAGGTATACGTAAGTCAAAGGTTAGGTATTACCGTATAAAAATGCGACACTTGCACGTATGGGCTAATAAGAATTCGAAATAATTGGCATTTTACCCTTCAAAGCCCAAAAAAGGAACCGTGTATACTTATTCCATGTGGCCTTTGCCTCACTGATAAGTATTTATTCAGATTAATGTCGCATGTAAATCGACTTCAAAGCTACGCTTCAAGTATCAGCACTTTGTTGCCCAATCTTCTCGTGGGTGCAGTCATTTTTGTGCTAGAGCCAACGCAAATTGAAGATTGTTAAAATTAAAACATTCGCCCTCCAAGAGCTTAAGATACCATGCTAGGAAAATCAGACAATATCATTTTGCTTTGTCGTTGAGCGTTTTGCCACCTCTGCAGGGGAAAAAACTGCTTCCTGCGGTCTCAGAAATTTCACAAAAGTGGCGTCAATACTTTTAAACGCCAAGATGGCTGAAGCGTTCTGGTCCTAAAGCATATTTTACTTTTACTGGCTCTAGTTCAAGAGTCTCAAGCACATGGCCCACGAATTTCTCATCATTCGACCGCCTTGCATCTTGCGGGTGCGAGGGCCAAGTCTTGTGCCTCAGGGGTGGCTTGCACCATAGGTGTGATGACGTCGATTGGTCGTTTCTTAGACATATGCAACAACGTAGGGGACTTTATTACCGTTCTGAATGCCAGACTGTTGTTATAAGATGTTTACCATACTTTGCGCTTCGTGGTTTTGCACTGCGTAAGTTTTATGCTCAATGGGTTTCTCTTGTGTACGGTGGATAATATGTAGGGTGTTAAATAAATGACAATAAAGTGCGATTCATTTTTTATACATGGTGTTATAAAACTTGTCCCCCCCGCAAAAAGGCAAGCACGGCACATTAAAAAAAAAACGTGGATGACCTATTAGTTACCTCCAAGGGACCTATTTAGAAAAATGAATAATATTGGATAAAATGAAAAACTCTTGATTGGATTTCACTAGTTACCCTTTTAATTTGTAAGTTTGAACTTGTGGTTTCAATTACAAACGACCTGGCATCATCTAAACCCACAAAATTGGCGCTCCTTACAAAAATATAAAGCACGCGCAGCATTCTACGACGTTCCAGAAACAACACACCAAATTTGTTCGCGTTTTTAGGTTTTGGTTTTCTTCATGGTGCCCGGGCCCCCGCCGAAATCTTCCACTTCGCTGGGGCCTCCTCTCCCCCTCCCCTCTCATACAGCATTTTGTCGTGCCCCTCCAAATCCTGGATAGGTGCCTGTTCCGCTATACATGGGTTGCACGTGACGTCGTTCAAAGAGCGCTCCGATGCCAACCAGAGGAGAGGGCAAGAAGGAGCTCCCCTCTAATCAGGGTCCTCTTTTCTGGATCCTCATAAGAGGGGAGCTCTTACAAAAGCAGCTTCCCTCTCCTCCTCTTACATGGTGGTCAAAACTATGCGATGTGACGTCAGTGCAAACCATGTATACTGACAAAGCCTGGCAGATCGCCACGAGACGCGGCAGCCGAAAGTGAAAAGGTAGAGCGGCAGACAACGGATGAGAGGAGAGGCATGCTACGGGCGCCCCGCTGCGGCGTGACACCGAAACACACATCTCCCGAGTGATGTGTGTTTCGGTTTCGGCCCGTGCCCCTCGCGCTACCGCTTCTTTTCTCGTCGAGTTTAAAAACCATGTTTCCGGTCCTCCCCGCTACAAAAGCTGTGTGCTGAACACTAGAAATGCTCTCTGCTACCAGGTTTTCGCGCTCCAAATGTCCGACCGAACGACCGGGCACTCGAACTGCCAGGCTATGGCATGATGTATAAGCAGCGATACCCAGGCTTTGGGTTCGTTGTAGCGGCTAAAACTTCCATGAAGGCGGCGGTAAAAAGCTACACTGCAGACGTTGGGTAGAGCAACAACGGCGATGCCAAATTAATCTCACGGCTTTTTTTTTTTTTTTTTTTGCTGCCGGGACAATATTTTATTTAGTGCGAAGGAACTCGGGGGGTATTTTTTGGGAAAGCCAATTCATTCTGCCAGGATTCAAAATCTTCATTAACCGGAGCGACCTTCATAAACTTTCTTTGAGGTCGACGCTATCTGAAGCCAATTTGAGCTCTTTGCAACGCCTGAAAAATATGGCCCAGGGCACAGTTTCTTTTACGGGCACTCAGAGCTTTCCACAAATTTAAACTTTCACCAGTAATAGCGAAAAAAAAAAAACTAACATTCAATCGCATGTACTGGCGTGGAACACTCTACCGCAAAAGAGTACAACTTCATGCGTCTTCGCGCCGAAAAATAAATTGAAAGTCTCCTCAGAATTGAACGGAGTGCCGGCCTAGTCTTTTCTTCACGTTGGGTGATTAGAAGTCAGAAAATAATATAATTAGAAAGTCAGAATCAGTTGCAGTGCGTCTCTGCCCCGGGAATGCTGAGAAAGCGAATCTCGAGAAATTTGGCGCTACCAATATGGCCGCGCACAGAGTGAAACCAGGCCACCAAAAAGTTTCATGTCGTCTTTTGAGAAACGGGAACGGCAGTATGCTTGCTCGTTTGGCTTAACTGAAAAGTGCCACCACGTTGGTGGGCTTTGGCATTTTAATTCTTGTTATCAAATAAGGTAAGAGCTTAAAATTGTCCTATCAAGACATCAAAGTTAAACGTGGACCTGGCAAAACTGCAAGTTTAGACAAAGCAAAAAGCGTGAGGTCCCTTCTCTGTAAAATTGACTGAGCCTCCCTCCCCTTCCCCCCCCCCCCCCCCCTCCTTCTACCCTCCCACCTTACGTTGGCCCTCGACCTTTCGGGGGCGGGCTATCTGTTCCCCTCAACCTTCCGACTGTACCCGTCGGCGCTACATTTTGTAAATGTTCTGTGACCTTCGCTAAAAAAAAAAAAAAACAGTGTTTCCGCACACCAACTATGGCCGCACACTGCAAAGTAACAGGCTCCAATGTGGCCCCGCCCTGCTGGTCAAAGCGTGTCGCGATCTATACAGTAACTGCACATGCTCCGATATTTAGTTAGTCTATCGCCCAGGGTTGGGCAGAAATACTCAAAAATGTATTTGGAAATACAAATACTGGGATACATTAAAAAAGTAGCCAAAATACTGATACTAAAATATATCTGCAAAAATGTATCGCGATACGTGTCGGAAATACATTTTAAATAGAGGCAAAAAGTATTCGGAAATAAAAATACAGGAATACATTTTAGGGAGGGCAGAGATACAAATACAGAAATACTGATACTGCAATACATTTTTCACATTTGTTAGAGACGGCAACTGAGATGAAGCTTAAAGTTTGAAGTGGAAGTTTTTTACCCCGAAATTACTTTCCCGTAGGCTTGGCACTTTGCGTTGAAGGTAGTGGCTTCGGACGACGAGGAGTCTTCAATGGGCTCAAAAAAAACGTTCCATCAACCACTGACCGCGGTCCCTTCCCTGACATACTGTCTGTCTGGCGAGGGATGCGAAAAGACTTCGACCTCTAAATAAATTCTACGTCACCCAAAATCCCATCAAAACGTCACCACGCCCCTCTCCAATAAGGACGTCCCTGCCAACATTGATCACATTACGTCACGGTGGAAAAAAAATTGATATTCTTTATCTGTAGGTGTGGCCTTGAACATTAAAATTTACCACGCTGCTGTACGAAAGTACAATAGGTACTTTCGTTGTAGGTTACCTCGTTAAAAGATTGTGCAGGCAGTGTCATTTAGAATTTTTGAGAATAGTGCACCACCTGAAGCATCCTGGAATACGTGTCTTATCTTCTCTTACGGTTGAAAAAAAGATACGATGGCATCCCTGTCGTGAAGGTCCTTCCTGCAGACCATCCGCCACCGACGCATGGATTGCAGTCATCAAGTTTGGCCTAGCATCACCCAAACAGAGACCTCATGGATTGCGACCTGATATTGCCGGCACAAGGGCGAGCTCTCCGAGAAACAGCGCGCTCGAGACGAGTCGCAGGTGTACGAAGTCTGGGTCGGCATAGCGAGGCCACGTCTAGCCTCCTTCCTGGGTTTCGGATCCCCAGAGCAGCGGGTCACTTTCATGTCGGCTGATGATGTACCCTTGAGCCGTGCAATATTACGGACGCAGCCGCAGATGCAATTGATCAGGTGTTGAACTTCACTGCGTGAGTCATCCTACTATTTCAAGTCAACCACCGCCAGGCTCGTGCTGCAAAGGACTGTGTGTGACTCAGCTTTGCCGCCTGGGTGTATGTGTACGCTAAGGCAAGAGATACATTTATAAGCGTACATTGGATGCCAGCAAACAATGACTGAAGAAATCCCTAGCTAAGGACCTACGGCAGAAGATGCTCTAACTCCACTCCTGGCATGCCACCTGGTTCGAGTCCCCGACTACGCAACATTTCTCAAAAGAGAGAAGAGGACGCATAGAAAAATAGTTTGGAGAATCGGAGGAAACCTTGGTCAGCATAGCAACAATGCCCCAGCATCTTTTCAAACATGATGCCCTGAGAAGTAAAAACAAATAAAAAAATATGCGTTCGGGTTTGTTTCTTTTATCGGTGGGGTGGGGAGAGAGTATTTCTCAAGAAATGTAACGAAATACATTTCATCCTGATTGTATCGCGATACAAAGAAACATTCCAAATGTATTTCGATACAGGAATACAGGTACTGGTGAATGAAATGTATCGCGATACAGAAATACAGATACAAAATGTATCTCTGAAATACTATCGCGATACATTTGTATCGCGATAATGCCCAACCCTGCTTTCGCCACCCTGGTATCTGAGCATGTTATGTTATCCTAGAATAAGCACACCGCTAACATTCATATTTTGCTGTATGGACGCCACCTCACCGATTGAAGCAGTGAGCAGCGAAGGTTAGATAATGGTTTCATGGTCCCTTAAAAGCCCAAGTTTGTATGAGATCGCTGTACATACGCCTTGCGTCGTTCACGGCCGGCGACAGTGGTCTCCGTGCCGGGAGCTTCCTCAGGGCCGCTGCGAAGATGTCTCCCTTGTGGCAAGAAGCCGTGGCCGTGTCGCACTCGTATCCGCTGGGGCAGCAGTGCACGTCGTCAGAGCAGCAAGTGGCGTTCTCGTAGGGGCAGCAGCCGTAGCTCCCGCCCTGTAGCTGGCAGCATGTCTGACCGTCAGGGCAACTGCCTCCGTCGGGGCACTGCACGTCCGACACTGCAGTGAACAAATTCGACGCCGGTTTTGTCAAAGAAAACAGCGTTCTTCTTGTCGTCCTCACGCACGGTTTGTATGCTTGCCTGATGAAGCTACTTTCGAGTTTTGTTTGTTTTCTCGATGAACGTTTATCGGTTGAATTTTTCTTTATTTATTAGTTAAAAAAACATTGGGCGCTCTAATAATGAGGTGCTCAAAAAACAATATGTGAAACAATAAACATATCCTAAATAATGCTGGCAAGCGGCATCAACGCAATAAAGACGTAGAGGTTTAAAAGAGATTTAAAGTATTTCAAATTAATCGTTTTGTAGATAGAATTAATCTAACTTGACCGCACACAATTAACAAAAAATGGTATATGATCCTGCTTTCCTCTGCAATTTTTTTTCCCCACAAAGCCTTTTCCGGACTTTTGGTAAAGCGAACATTTTCGTCCAAATAACGTCTTAAACAATATAAATTTCTCGTTTTGTTCTTTGTCGTCGCAACGCATAAACATAGGCAGCCTCAACATTGCCCCCTGTATCTCAAGATGAAAAAAATTTATGTTCCAGCCAGTTAATCTGAAGTGCGTTAAGTACAAGCTCCAACACCAAGGCTGCAAATGCGGGCATCATGCACTAAAGAAACGATGCAACAGCTTTAACTTCGAAAGGAATGCAGCTGTTATTTTTACCGTGTTTATCTCACCCTAAAAAGTGAAGAAACCGCCACGTTCTTTGGCGACATTGTGATTCCTTTGCGACCGAGTACGACTGAGAGAGACGAGATCTCTTAAAACTTCTTGAATTTTCTGAAAATGAGAGAACACACTGGCATTGTGGCGCCATCTATGCGGTGACCCTGGAACTGCATTTCACAAGAGCGAAGGTTTTGCGGGATTTCCGAGGTCAAATGTGCGTAATACCCATAGAAAGGCTCGTTTATAAAATTGACAAAAGATTTTCGAGCCAAGAAAGAAAGGATAATGCTCGAGAAATAAAAGAAATATGCCGGACCGCCGAGTTTACACTGCATCCCAACAGATGGCGCCAGTGTGTTCTCTGATTTATGAAGTTTTAAGGAACCCAGGTTTAAGAGGTCGCAAGAGTGTGAACGGGCCTTAAGAGTTTAGGAGAAAGTTCTGCCACTTCTTCCTACTTTAATGGATCAAACGCAGGAGAGGTTGTTTCCCCCTCCCCAGCGTTTGCTCTGCTAATGTGAAAAGAGGTAGGAGGAGTTTCCCTTGAACTCTTAATTTGTCACCGCGACTTCCAACCTTTTTGCAGCAGGGCAAGCAGTTCGCCCTCCCCCCTCCCTTTCCCTCTCGGCCCTTATCCATATCGGTCAGACCGATTTTCAAGTTCGCCATGTGAATCGCAAGCAGAGGCCGTGAGTTGAAGGCTCTGATTGAGAGCCCGACCGGATACTCCCTATTGAACCCGGGAACACGTCACTGCGTACGTGACTCGGAAGACACTGTAAGGGTTGAGAGTGGTTGGGAAGCGCCGAAAATGTCAACTGTTTTCCAGATTTTAAAAGATAATTAACGCGCGCTCACAAAATTGGTTTTCATTTCTTTAATCCAGACGTGGCAGGGAACGGCTCCCACAATTATCGACTGAAGTCCACACATTGATGCACGGCAACTTTAAAGTGACGACACAACAATTTTTGTCTTTTTAGTAATTGCCTCCTAAACTTATTCCTTGGCATTCTTGACCAATGAGACACGCTTTCGTTCCTTTCTCCACGCAATGCCAGTCCCCCCCCCCCCCCCCCCCCCAAAAAAAAAACACAAAAAACAGCGTTTATAACAATCACCTTTTCTTTAACTTGCAGCCAGAGCAACCGGCCATGTGTCGGGAGCCCGATTCTATGCCGGCAATGTTTAACATAATCACGCGCTGGGGACTGGCACAGAGAAAGAACACGTGTTGAGTTCCACGCATTATCAAGCTTCGACTCTTCCCATCGTCGCAAAGATTGGGCACAAGCCGCTACCCAAATGCATGACGAGGCATCCATTGGTACTGGCTATCTAAAGGAGTAGTTTGCTCCCACATTACATTCGATGATGCACTTCACAGTATCACTCACTTAATCCCTCTACACTGTGCGGTCACTCGCGTTTATGGGCCGCTTGGGCAAAAGTGTAGATCCGGACCGTCGGATATTCGCATCCGATCCCTATCCGCAGCCCCTGGCATCCGCACCTGATCAGCAATCTGCCAGATCTGATCCGTATTTATCCGCATCCGCCAGTTTACTCCGGATATCCGCGGATGATCCGTGAGTAATCCGCGGATATGCCCAGGGCTCTACTCCCCGCCTTCCCCACACACACTCCCATATCACGGAGCGACTGGCCGGCTAGCCCCAGAGCCGAAGCCCAACTCGCCCTGGCCGATCACCCGGAGGCTTCCCCAGCAGCCTTTTCAAGCGACCTGGACTAAGGTGGCCGTCCAGCGAAGCGCACGAGGCAAATTGTAACGCTATCTTTTCCTTTGCCTTTTTTAGGGCCAAAGAAATTTAGCTGAAATTATCGACAGCAGACGAGGAAAGCAAGCAAGGATCGGCGCGTTGCACCAGCGTGTATGAGACATCGCAGCGTATCAGCTCCACTATCGAAACGAACATTCAGTTTTCACACGGTTAAACCATACCTAATATATCGAAATACGATCGATTCATGAAGCGCGCTTGGTTCATGTGAAGGCGCTCGCTGCGGTAGTCGTCCTTAGGGGTCAGCAAAAGCAAGCAGCGGTCTACGGAGGAGCACAGTTCAGCGGGTTGGGTGAGGCAAGTTGAAACCCTGTCTCTTCGTTTGCCTTTTTAGGTACTCATTCTTGCTTTTCTCCGTATGCCACCTCACTGGACTGCTTCTTTATTCAAAATGCCACTTGTTGAACGCTTAACTTGTATCATGTAAATATCTGCGGATAGCCCTACCAAGTATGAAGTGTGTTTACTGTAAGGCTAGTTATCATGTAGGGAAGTGTGCCGGGGTAATGAAGACTACTCTTAAGACCCTGACTAGAGAGGATTTGACTGCTTGGTAGTGTGAAACCTGCAGGCTTCATGAAACTAGACAGTTCACATTTTCAACGAGGGGCTTTAAGGAAGATAGCCAACCTAGTATCGCAGATGGAACAGTGGAAGAACCGATTGTTGCGGTTTTGATATAACATATCCTTGATATGAGCAAAAAACTAACTGAAGTTTTAGACCGAATGAATAACATCGAGAAGGCCATCGATGAGCAGTCTCACGAACATGACGCCGTAATAATAAAGCTGACTATTCAGGAGAAAACTGAAAGGCATACAGCACTCGTTGGAAGTGATAGGAAAAGAGTAACATTAACTTTTGGAGAAGGTAAAGGTTCGAGACAAAGAATTAAACTAACTGAAAAAATAGGACCACTGAATTGGAACAGACGGTTGCTAAGGGCGAATTGTAGATCCAGAAGCTCAAGACTACGGTAGGTTCCACTGAACAGCACTAAAAAAAAAGTAGAAACTCACGGAATCTCCTTAAACGTTTTAGAGAACCTTGTGGAAACCATCCAGCAGCTCCCTGCTAAGGTGCACCTACCGGTCTCGTCACGCGAGATTATACAAGCAATACATAGATTGAGCCCAAGGAAGGGTAGAATCCCGCCCATCATTGTCCGATTCAAGGACAGAGCGGTTAGAGTCCTCTGAGTCTTCAAATGAAGAGCTTTGGCGAATGAATGGGTATTCTCTAGCGGAAGCCTTACAAAGTTACTGTGACAACTATTTGGGAAAACGAAGTTGTGCGCAAAAGAGAATGGCTACAAATCTCTGTTGATTGCTAACGGAAAAATTATGGCTCGAGAAAACAGAGGTGCGCTTGCGATCAAAGTGGCGAGGAAAACAAGAAAAAAAAAAAAGGAACACTTTCGGGTACAAACTGCGAGCCACAGCGGACGTCAGGGATTGCATGAAACATGTGTTTTAGCTAAATAATTAATTAAGTCTAATATTAACCTTTTTAGTTTGCGAAATAAGCATATAGTTACATTAAGAACACTCTATACGTCATGATAAACTCTTTAATTAGTCAATTTTAGGAGAACTTAAAGCAAGTTTGAGCTCGGGGGTGCGAAAACATTCTCTTTCTTGCAGCAGGCACAAAGTTGGCGATGACGGTACTTCCCTTGATGCTTTAATAGAACAGATTCGAGTATCTCTTACTGGTGCTTTTTCACGGCGCTTAAGTATGCTAGTGCGAAATCACTCTTTTAGGGTGATCTCCGCTGTATCCGTAAGTTGTATGAAACGCTGTACTGAACACGAAACACGGCATGCATTTGGTCGCTGAGCATACGAAGTAGCTGCGCCATTCCTAAGTTGGTTGTTGTGCCTGCCCACTGCTCATATTTACCAACGTTCCGTTGATTGCTTTCGTTATCGGATTGTTTTTAAAACAAGATATTTTGCGCGATGCGTTCATCTACCCTATAAGCTCTAGAGAGTGCACTCTGTGGAGGCTTGAAGTAGTACAAACGTATCATTCAATAATTTTCGTAAAACCTTTCGGCTCATTCTCAAATATGAAATACTGATTAGATTGTCATCATCATCATCAAATATGAAAAACGAAACTATTAGGTTCCAAACCATACAATAATGCCTATGTGTGTGCGAGGTTTTTCTGGTCAACTAGGTATGGGGTTTCAAATGTATTCCTCGTAGCATCGCTATTACCCATTGTTACGCACAAATTGAAAGAAAACCTGATTCTGATAGATGCTCAGTTTTCAGGTGTGAGCTTCGATTATTTTATGTCACCAAGAACTGCGCCTTCGCATATCTTCTTTCGCAAACAGTGCAAGTAGTCGTTCGCATTGAACGCCGTGCTGAAAATGGCAACAAATGAAGTTCTGACCCTTCGCGCCGCAACTCTCGTTGGCCGCACACTCGGTTTAGCGGTATGGGCACTGCACAGTTCGGCCTGCAGCGGCCCAAGATACCTTCGTGTCGACCTGTGGCGTGTCACGTCTATTTCTTCTCCTGGGCTTAATATGCTGTGCTTCGATTGTACCGTCGATGGCAGGGGGATATTGGTCCCTGGAGTTACTGACGCCGTGCCCGACCAAACACACCTTTGGAGTCAGACTTTTAGGAATAGCCAATGAATCGATATCACATTTTTGGTGCTGTTGTGTCTGCTTTCATTGAGGGAAATGATTGTACGATGATAATGAAATTAATGCGTGTTTAACACCGTCAAAGTGCCAATATTGACGGTGTTAAAACGCGATGACTACAAGCTTCCACCGTGGTGTTTACACACACTACGTAGAGTCGCTGACGGAAACTCATCACGTGGCGAGATCATCTTATTACTGCTCCGCAGCCAATGAGATTTCGCCGCCCATAAGCACGCCAAAAAACAAATCACAAAGCAAGTCTCGTGCGAATAATCACCCTGCGTATCTTATGCTCTCATTCACTTTAACCATCTTGTCGTCCGAAACTATTATTAAGTAGCCAGGATTACAACCATTCCTCATTTTCCCTGTCCCAAGTGGATAGTTTTCCTGAAAAATAACTATCACGGGCCTATTCAGAGAGCAAGTCGTCTGCTTCTTGCGCAGGAGTTGTTGTGACGTCAGAACGACGTTGAGCGCTGATTGACTGATTAAAAACAATAGTGGGTAGACCTCAAGGCATCTAGCATTGAGGTCTACCCACTATTTATTAAATTAAGGCCAATCTGTGCTCGGCTTCGCTCTGCCGTCCCAACAACTCCTAAGCAAGAAGCAGACGACTTGCTCTCCGCATTCCGTCACTAAATGCTTAGCCTAACTCACTCTACTAGAAAAATTCTGGTCATGATATCGCGGGTAGGAATCACGAGGTGGCGCCACCGAAACCATAACTGTGTATATTACATGCTCCTAGCTAGGTTCCCTCAGGTTCGCTTGACACTAACACAGACGTTATGTCTCCCTGTTTCTTTTTCTACTACGTATAACTGTTTCCTTTTTGTACCCGAGTCTCGGGACAAATTCGTCGTGGTCAATTTCCACCAGATCGCGTGCGCACTGACTATACTTGCGTTACTAATGCTGCCCTTGACAGAAGGCAGGCTAATGTTTGTAAGTCAAGCTCCTTTTGTTGAAGTTGTGCACTAGAAATGTAATCAAGCTTATTTCTCGGTGCTTCGCTGAACCACGCCTGACTCCCTTTAAGGACTTGAAGCACTAAAATTTCGTTTTGCTAGTTTGTGGTGCTGACCGTACTCATGGGATACGGGTCGTTTTGTTACAATCAAAAAGGCCTGGTGTAGTAAAGCCAGCTAGCCACGTCAGCGCAAAACAAAGAATTAAAACAAAAACAAAAAAGTTCAATTTGCAGCTGAGTTCGTAAAGCAAAATAACTGCACATTTTTAGCTTATTTTATTTTCCCAGAAATGTTTTGATAGACTCAGAGTTTAAAGCATATAGATATACAGTTCAGGAAATCTCAAAACACCGTTCCACCTTACGTCCGGTCGCAGCGGATGACACAAGCCATCGAAGTCAACCCAAGGCCGTGGGAGAGTTAGTTGACCTTGGAGAGAAGGCGCGGTAACAGGCAAAGAGCGTATCAGGTACTACGTTCACAGAGCTGGATTGGCTGGCATGGTGGTAGGATCCGCTGCGGTCGCACGTAAGGTGAAATGGGTTGAGTTAGAGCAACTAAGGCACATATTCGCTTGCTATCGATTGCTCAAATCAGTATTTTACGTTGGTCTGTAATAAATATTATTTATATGTAGCTTACGAAATTAAAAAAAAAACGAGCGTAGTCTGATCAATACGTGGCAGTCACACAATGGATTTGTGGCATTACACAATAAGAACTCTGACGAATGAGTGATGAAACAAAAAACACTAACAAGATAGGCGACCCGTTTTTTAAGATGTCAGGGACTATAGTGGTTTGTATTTTCTGCAAGGTCACCATAAATAAATATTTGACAGCTTTTCCTTCTTTGAGCTGCCTGTTCTTGTCCTCTTTTTGGCGCACCCTTGCAACTCGCCAGAATGAACATACAAAGGGCAACCTTAAACTACATTTAAATCATACGCCATAATGATTACGACTTCTTGACCAGATATTATTCGATATGCTACTGGGAGCATCGGAATCTAATGTTTTGCATATTTTGAGAGAAATACCGAGTTAAAATATAGCATTCCCAACTAACTCTTGAGTCATCATCTGCACGGTGAGTCAGCAATCGACTGGAAGATCTCACGACGTACCGAGGCGAGGCTTCTTGTCAGTTCTGAAGGCTGGGACTTTCTTCAGCATAGGTGACATCTCGTTGAGGCCAAGGCACGCGTGGAGTGCCTCGACACAAACTTTTCCTTTCGGACAGCACGTCTTGTGGTCGGGGCAGCAGACCGCCTCGGGAAGCGGACAGCAGCCGTATGTCCCGTTTTTGAACTGACAACAGGTCTGCTGGTCGAGGCAGGAACTGCCGTCGGGACACGACACCGTATTGCCTGCAGCGAGCATTGAAAGTGGACGACAACAATGGGAATGTATACTGGCAACGAACGGTCGGCCATGATTTTGCTCAAAGAAAATGCATGGTCTAAAGTAATCGCTTCTTTTGCAGGCCGTTGCAAGAAAGTTGTACTAATTGTGTTGCTGGTATGTTTGGGTAGCGGGATGTTATTCTGCCTCAAGGGCAAAAAGTCTGTGGCGCAATCCTTGGATTCTGCAGCGCGTGCTTTCACAACCACCCCCTTTGCAAAAAGTCAATGATGACGTGTGCGACAAAATGTATCATCACGGTACATGATTGGTCAAACGCCCACTATAGCGTGTTTAGTAAGATGTATTATGTTTTCATCAAAGAAAATAGAGTAATGTAAAGCTGACAGGTTTGACGGTGTTGGATTAGGAGCCCGATGGCCCTAAGCTCTATCGTGCTTTTCACACAGACCAGCAAACCTGTCGCTCGCAAATGATTATCATTGTCCTGATGTCACGGGTAGGAACCATAGAATTACTATAATGTATACTAGAGGTTCAGCTGGCACTAGTGTGCTGTCGTAAATTGAAACAGGCAGCAACCAGTCGAAAACTAAGTTCCGGTAATGCATTTCTACGGATAAAAGCGAGTGCATTTTTTCTGTGCGCTTGCTTGTAAGAGCAAATATTACGAATAATTATAACGTAGTAAATATTTTAGAACATTTATCAATCGGGTAAATTACAATATTAGCCAGTTACAGTGTTTCCTTTTGTCAAATACATGTCGATAAAGGGGCGGTGAAACGATATTCAGTTAAAATGTTTTCCCTTTACACGAGCTTACTAGCACGTGAGACCCACGCACACCCTGACGCAACGCCACTGACCAAGGAACTCCCTTGTTGCGGTGTAACTTCAAGGAGAAAAGCGAGCGTTTTGTGTCAATTTCTCTCTTCGATGAGCGAAGAAACAGGAAGACACAACGTCGGTGTTAGTGTCAAGCGAACCTGAGGGAACCTAGCTATAGCTAGGTTCCCTCAGGTTCGCTTGACCCTAACACCGACGTTGTGTCTTCCTGTTTCTTTTTCTACCACTGATAACTCTTTCCTTTTTCTACCCAAGTCTCGGGTTAAATTTGTCATGGTCAATTTTCACCAGATCGCGTGCGCACTGACTATACTTGCATTACTAATGCTGCCCTTGACAGAAGGCAGGCTAATGTTTGTAAGGCAAGCTTCTTTCGTTGAAGCTGTGCACTAGAAATGTAATCAAGCTTATTTCTCAGTGCTTCGCTGAACCACGCCTGACTCCCTTTAAGGACGTGAAGCACTAAAATTTCGTTTTGCTAGTTTGTGGTGCTGACCGTACTCATGGGATACGGGTCGTTTTGTTACAATCAAAAAGGCCTGGTGCAGTAAAGCCAGCTAGCCACGTCAGCGCAAAACAAAGATTTAAAACAAAAACAAAAAAGTTCAATTTGCAGCTGAGTTCGTAAAGCAAAATAACTGCACATTTTTAGCTTATTTTATTTTCCCAGAAATGTTTTGATAGACTCAGAGTTTAAAGCATATAGATATACAGTTCAGGAAATCTCAAAACACCGTTCCACCTTACGTCCGGTCGCAGCGGATGACACAAGCCATCGAAGTCAACCCAAGGCCGTGGGAGAGTTAGTTGACCTTGGAGAGAAGGCGCGGTAATAGGCAAAAAGCGTATCAGGTACTACGTTCACAGAGCTGGATTGGCTGGCATGGTGGTAGGATCCGCTGCGGTCGCACGTAAGGTGAAATGGGTTGAGTTAGAGCAACTAAGGCACATATTCGCTTGCTATCGATTGCTCAAATCAGTATTTTACGTTGGTCTGTAATAAATATTATTTATATGTAGCTTACGAAATTAAAAAAAAAAAAAAACGAGCGTAGTCTGATCAATACGTGGCAGTCACACAATGGATTTGTGGCATTACACAATAAGAACTCTGACGAACGAGTGATGAAACAAAAAGCACTAACAAGATAAGCGACCCGTTTTTTAAGATGTCAGGGACTATCGTGATTCGTATTTTCTGCAAGGTCACCATAAATAAATATTTGAAAGCTTTCCCTTCTTTGAGCTGCCTGTTCTTGTCCTCTTTTTGGCGCACCTTTGCAACTCGCCAGAATGAACATACAAAGGGCAACTTAAACTACATATAAATCATACGCCATAATGATTATGACTTCTTGACCAGATATTATTAGATATGCTACTGGGAGCATCGGAATCTAATGTTTTGCATATTTTGAGAGAAATACCGAGTTAAAATATAGCATTCCCAACTAACTCTTGAGTCATCATCTGCACGGTGAGTCAGCAATCGACTGGAAGATCACACGACGTACCGAGGCGAGGCTTCCTGTCAGTTCTGAAGGCTGGGACTTTCTTCAGCATAGGTGACATCTCGTTGAGGCCAAGGCACGCGTGGATTAGCGGGACACAAACTTTTCCTTTCGGACAGCACGTCTTGTGGTCAGGGCAGCAGACCGCCTCGGGAAGCGGACAGCAGCCGTATGTCCCGTTTTTGAACTGACAACAGGTCTGCTGGTCGAGGCAGAAACTGCCGTCGGGACACGACACCATATTGCCTGCAGCGAGCATTGAAAGTGGACGACAACAATAGGAATGTATACTGGCAACGAACGGTCGGCCATAATTTTGCTCAAAGAAAATGCATGGTCTAAAGTAATCGCTTCTTTTGCAGGCCGTTGCAAGAAAGTTGTACTAATTGTGTTGCTGGTATGTTTGGGTAGCGGGATGTTATTCTGCCTCAAGGGCAAAAAGTCTGTGGCGCAATCCTTGGATTCTGCGGCGCGTGCTTTCACAACCACCCCCTTTGCAAAAAGTCAATGATGACGTGTGCGACAAAATGTATCATCACGGTACATGATTGGTCAAACGCCCACTATAGCGTGTTTAGTAAGATGTATTATGTTTTCATCAAAGAAAATAGAGTAATGTAAAGCTGACAGGTTTGACGGTGTTGGATTAGGAGCCCGATGGCCCTAAGCTCTATCGTGCTTTTCACACAGACCAGCAAACCTGTCGCTCGGAAATGATTATCATTGTCCTGATGTCACGGGTAGGAACCATAGAATTACTATAATGTATACTAGAGGTTCAGCTGGCACTAGTGTGCTGTCGTAAATTGAAACAGGCAGCAACCAGTCGAAAACTAAGTTCCGGTAATGCATTTCTACGGATAAAAGCGAGTGCATTTTTTCTGTGCGCTTGCTTGTAAGAGCAAATATTACGAATAATTATAACGTAGTAAATATTTTAGAACATTTATCAATCGGGTAAATTACAATATTAGCCAGTTACAGTGTTTCCTTTTGTCAAATACATGTCGATAAAGGGGCGGTGAAACGATATTCAGTTAAAATGTTTTCCCTTTACACGAGCTTACTAGCACGTGAGACCCACGCACACCCTGACGCAACGCCACTGACCAAGGAACTCCCTTGTTGCGGTGTAACTTCAAGGAGAAAAGCGAGCGTTTTGTGTCAATTTCTCTCTTCGCAAAACTTGATGACGTAGGGTGGGGGTCGCAGTGTCGGCATAGTTCCCACAGTGACGGTATATCAACGCTGCTGGTAGATCGGACCCGAGCGTTGCGTTAGCACTCGATTTACGGTACATTTATACTTCAACGAAACGTCGACGGGAGCGGCGTAGCACAGCGCACACTGATACAGATTGGTCGCAGAAATCGAGTTCCTGGTCGCCGGCCAATGAAAGGCGCGCGTTCTGCGCTACGCTGCGTTCCCTGCGCTCAACGTCGGAGTATAAACAGCCCTTTAGGCTCGCGATAGTCAATAGTTAAACAAACATTCGAGCACTGGCTCGTGCCCAATTGCCTCAATGACAACAATTAGCGGCGAGATGTTTTAGTGTCGCCCTCCTACGGTTCCCCCTTGTGACGTCATTACCTTACAAACAACAAGTTCGATGGTGTTTGTAAATAGCATGGTGGAAGCTTCAAATCATTGCGCTCTCAAAGGAACACTGCCAACACCGTCAAAACTAAAGTTCTTTCATTCCTCTTATTTCCGTCGATGATAAATCCTTTTCTGACGTCATAATGAGCGTTCGGCCCATCGTGGAAGGCCGACCACAGCGACGCTTTCAGTCGCGCACGTCGCCAATAGCTGAATCCTAACAATGTCTGGAATTTAAGGCGTGTCCTGAGCTTTGCAAACCTCAGCGCGTGGCTATGCTAAACATTGGCGGCATATAATCGGCTCCAGGTCACATGGCCGCTTATTCTGGCTCTTCTGGCTGCGAGTTGAGGCGATACCAGCTAGAAGACAAGGACTGCACACGACGTCATCGTTAGTTGATCCCGACCCGCCTCAAGCGGCAAACACCCCGAAGCTTGACGAGAGTGTGGGCCTCGCCACAGCTACGTCGCATCCACTGGCGGCCATCGGCGGCGAGATGTTTCGGTGGCGCCCTCCTATAGTTCCCTCTCCTGACGTCACTACCTCGCGAAGAACAAGTTCGATGCTGTTTGTAGTGAGCATAGTGGAAGCTTGAAATCGCTCCGCTCTGAAACTAACACTGCGAACAGCGTCCAAATTGCAGTTCTAACATTACACTTATTTCTCTCGATGAGAAATTCTTTGCTGACGTCATAGTCAGCATTCAGACAATTGCGGCAGGCCGACCGCAGCAACGCGATCACTCATGTCGCCAATATCTGTGTAGGCGACTGCTGCTGAGCACGAGTTGATAGCGAGGTTCCACAGTTCATTTTCAACGTGCACGCCACACCATCAAAATCGCCAGGCTTAGCAACCTATTAATCTAAACTCCTTCCGAGCATGACTAGAGCAATTAAATGAGCTGCGCTTAGAATATGGGCACTCTGTTCTCTGATCTGACATTGGGCGGCTCCAAGTGCTCGGTGCTAAGTAGACGAAACTGTCGATCGTCACAATTCAAAAATGCGACTTCCTCAGCTTTAGATACGGTGTTAGGAAACTCAGGTGATATTATTTTCCTCTGTCGTGAACTGTTTGAACATTTCTGGAGTACGTAAAAGCGTTTTCTGCAATTTCAGATAAAGCTTCAGATAACTGGAAACCATGATTTTAAGTACCAAGATAGCTTTTGTGTCGTTAGTCTGAAGCGTAGCTTATTTAGTGGCTTTAATCATGACCACTGAAGCAGGGGGTGTCGCAGATGATGGTGCTCATCCGGGCTACCTAGGAGGCGCTGATTTGATCTAGTAGTGATGACGTTTAGACGAGGAAACGCGCAGGCCTTGTCTTCCAGGTGGTAACGGTTGAGGCAGTGAATGCTTCTCGTTTTTCTTTAATTTCTTCTGCGACTTCGATTGCGAGTGGTGGAAAACGAACGGGTGTTTCAGAGGTCATTAACGTCAGCAATCCGTTCTAAGTGGTATTTGTTCAAAGTACAAAAATCGTTGCATCGCCCCCTTAAGGGGCATATTACACCCCTTAAAGGCTTTAGGAATGACGGCGAATCGGACTTTCTTTTTTGTGGCTGGTGACTAGCAATCAGGCCCGTGAATCATCCTTTCCATTATTGATCGAAGTCACCAGCCACAAAAAAGAAAGCCCGAACGGCCGTCATTCCTTACGTACACAATTCAGCCCACCGGATAAAATCCATCGCCTCAAAGTTCGACACGAATGTTGTCTTCTCGTGCCGCACGCGTCTTAAACAACTCTGTCAACAAGTGAACAACAACCGGATTCCGATTGGCTGCACTGTTAAACGCGAAAAGAAATTCATTACATGCAAAGAGAAGAAAGTGTACTCCATCCCCTTGAGCTGCGGTCATCAATACATATGACAGACCGGCAGATGCACCAATCACAGACTCCGCAAACATCAAAACGAAGTTTCTAAGGCCTCTCCAGATTCTTATCATCCCATAGTCTTACATGCCCGTTCGTGTTTGCGTTGTCATCCCCTCTTTGATGGAACAAAAATCCTGGGGGGGGCATGACAGCAGATTCGCCAGGGAAATCATAGAATCATTCGCCATGACCACAGCAAAAAACAACGTGTCAAACCCTTCCCTCCTGCTGAAGAAAACAGAGGTTGAATTTCTGAAATCCGAGATAAGCCCACCACTCTGACTTGCACTTCGCGTTTCTTATCTTCCCTTCTCCCCCCTTCTCTTCCTGGGTATTGGGGAGGAGATCGAACAGTCACGCCTCTAGCGGTACGCTTCAGCTGTGGGGGCAACAAACCGAATTTTCTTGTTTGTTTTTCATCAGTGATATCGAAGATGACGATTCGAAGGCCAGCATTGGTCAGAGCGAAGCGCTCGGGTCCCGGCCGTGCATGAAGAGGTTCAATTTCTTTGTTATGCTGTGTTAGTAAACACCGGGCTGTGGGGACAACAACCTCAATAAAGCGCCACCTATAGTTCGATCTCCTGCCCAATAGTCGGCTGCTCGCTGATGAAAGTTTACTCGTCTGTTACTAGTTGAAAGATGTGGTTGGTGTTGTCCCTGTTTTAATTGTTTTATTCTTTCTTCATCCATGACTTAAACCAACACGCTCTTCTCCCAAGCAGCTTTGTCAAAAGCATTGGAGAAATTAAAAGAAAAACACAATCAATTTCGCAATAATCATCAAGATAATGATGAAGATTGTACGTGAATGATATTAGTTGCGTCTCACATGAGGAATGTTTCCGGAAGCCGTGCTGCGAGTTTGTGAAAAAGTCATTCGATTCAAGAAAGTTAACTGCGAGTAGGTTATGTCTTCGAGAATTTACATGGCACACTTGTTAAAGAAATTGGTCGATAATTGAATGAGTTATGCTTTTCACCAGATTTATGTATAGGAACCACCTTCCCAACTTCCCAATCGCTTGGGACTGTACCCAAGTTAAGAGATTGCACATAGATAGTTGAGAAGGTTATGAATCAATACATATTACAATTTTTTAAGAACTTGGTGTTAATTCATTTGATTCCGGCACCAGATGAAAGTTTCATATTATCAATAACGCCAGCGACACCAATCGCGCCTATGGTTACAGGGTCCATTGGCAGAAAGGTATGGACGGGCAATGCTGGACATGGATTAACATTGAAGCCGCGAAGGACATCCTAAAACATAGTTTAATGCAGTAGAACTTTCCAGAATTAAAATATCTATACGCAATCAAAATAACGCAGAACAATGCTAGACTAATGTTAGAATTGACGATACTTCAGAATTGTTTAGGATTATTCGCTAACGTGGTAGGCAGGGTACAATTTAAAAAAAATGCGACTTAGTTTCACTAATAGTTGCTGTGTACTCATTATTTGCATTATGGTACGCTGTCCAGCGTCCTTCAGAGGACAGCCGCCTGGTAGTGCGAAACAGTCTTTTCTTCCTGTTTCATAGCCGCCGGAGGTTAGCGCTAAACCAAGGTGCGTTAGCATTGCCTCGAATTTTCCTAGATGGTATGCATGTTTTAATCAACATTTTAACAGTTTTTAAACAAAATCCAATTAGACTCTACGGAGCGCTCTAAAAAGCGGGCAAAGAATCGTCAAGGAACTTTGACAGGGCCAAGTTAATTGAAGAAAAGTTAGCTCTGGGGCCCTAAACTCGTGAAACACGAAGTTGGGGCCGAAGTTGAGGGAGCGCACCGATTGGACAATCATGACGATGACTTGGCGCTTTTCTCGCCAACATCCAATCGGCGCGCTCCGCGAACTTTCAGCTCCAACTTTGTGTTTCACGAGTTTAGGGCCCCTGGTGTAATCACGAATAGTTTTACACCAGCTTTTGAGTTACAAGTAGAATACGTAGTGCAAAGTGGAAGACTGAATGCTCACTTATACCGGGTAGGTAGGTTATGGGTAATATAACGCTCGGGTGCGTAGACAGCACCATATCCAGTATATTTGACGATAGGGTTGTGACCCTATATTGGCGACTAGCTGTTTCAGTGGTACCCTCTTATACTTTCTATCTCTCACGTCACGACCAATATTATTAGTAGAGAGCGACAAGATCTATGTCGTGTGCCTATAGTCATCCCTTTCCTTAATCAACGCCGTCGGAGTCGAGAGTCTGACGTTGCTGTTATTTCCGTCGTGAAGAGCAGAAAGAATGCTACTGAAGAGTTTGGCCAATCGTGGAACGCCGATCGCAGTGACGAATTTCGGTCGGGCACCTGGCCAATGGGGGAGTTTGCCGCAATGATAGGTAGGCAATGACAGGGTGTTTGTTGCTCGGAGAATGGACATTTATTTTTAGAAATTGCTGATTCGTGGAGTTTGGGCAGAGAATACTCTTGCCCACCCCGAGCGCTGACATGAGTCTCTCACGTAAAAACCTGTCATGGTCGCTCGTGAATTAATGAAACAAGAACATGTGTTTTGACAACAAAAGCATTGGAACCATTATTAAGAGAAAAAATATAGCTTGGTTGATTTCAGCGTATCGGTTAAGACAGTTAAAAATTATCATGAAGCATGTTATACAGAGCCTTAAGCCAAAGATTGATGCCACTCTAATGGCGGTACCGCAAAGATTTTTTACACAACAAAAACTGAACGTGTATGAGAGCAGGGAGGAGGTGGCGGAAAAATGACGGAGAAGTGACTGCTAAAATAATCATGCTATGTTCAGTGTTATACAGACCGCACGTGCAGGCGGCTTCAAACTTAATTTTCTAATGTAAATATCTAAAACAGGTAACACTTTGCAGGAGCCTTCGTCATGACCTTATTTCAGTATTTGAACTTCTTTCACGAACAATGCGAGCACTTCAAAAGCGTGTAACTAAACCTCAACATGTTCCCATGATTCTTTTCTTTTAATTTCGCAAATTATTTGTAGACTTTTTTTTTTATTACGTTCTCTTATGGTGGATCCGAAAAAAATTGAAAAGTGGCATGCGCAAACGACACCAACCAAAGGTAAGTCCATCAATTGTATACAGTCTCTTGTAATTGAGTACTATGTCAGTTATAGACTTACCAGCTTGTTGGTGTTAGGTGCGCACGCCAATTCGCATTATTTTCAAATAGACCGTAAAAGGGCTTCATTTCTAAGGCGTTTATTACGTCACATTTTATTCAACATGTAAAAGAAGCGTGAATTGTGCGATTTATTTGTTCAGTTATGGCTATCAGAGCAAAAATCATTGAGCCTCTGTGATGGACCCTAGTTGGTTCTGACTTTTGAAAATCACCTATTCCCTGACTTTTCCGTGTTGTCTAACATTACGTCACAATTGCCAGGTGTCACCATATTCATCACGGCACAGGAGTATGTGTTTACAGAAACTATTACGCGCGCCGCTTCAAGGAAAGAATATTGCACTGTCGCCTCACCAGAAGCTGGGCTATCGCTGAACGTGCTGATCTTCTTCAACATGGCCACCGTCGAGTTGCCAAGGATGCAAGAGTGGGTGGACAGCTGGCAGCGGTATCCCTCGGGGCAGCAGCTGGCGTGGTCGCTGCAGCACTCGGCGTGGGGGTAAGGACAGCAGCCGAAGCGGCCTCCCGTGGTAAGGCAACACGTCTGGCCGTCTTGGCAGTAATTGCCGTCCGGGCAACGGACCCTCTCGACTGAAATGTATTGAACGCTTGACTTTATTCGAGACTCGCTTTGTGTTGACGGCTTCAGCAGGTTAAATAAAACATCGCATTTAAACGTATGCTAACTCATGCCGAATGCAGCGACGACGATGACGACGAGTGCTTCCTAAGAGCAGTGACCACCGACGACAGGGCACGACGTCAACGAGACGATCCTGAGCTGCGCGCGTTAATCGAGCACCTGGGAGGTTACGGGTGTGCCATGCCACGTGTTTTCTCACGAGCCCTGCCGCCCTTTGCCATTAGACAAGGTGTACTCTACAAAGAGAACTTTGGATACAACAGCTCGCCGTGGCGGCTGGTAATCCCTACCGACCTTCGAGGGGAGATTTTTCAAGCATGTCACGACGACCTGACGTCCGGACACCTCAGTTACAGCCGGACGCTTGCCCATATTGGGGAAAGGTATTACTGACCCAGGGCTCCCCAAAATCGTCAACCTATAAACAGGATCATGCCACGAGTGCCAGCGACGTCAAAAACCTCCGACGAGGCCGACAGGTCTCTTACAGCCAATTCCTCCGCCCACTGCACCCTTCCAGCAGATCGGAATAAATCTACTTGGTTTTTTTCCGCAGTCAACGTCGGAAACCACTGTATAATCGTTGCCACAGATTATCTCATGCGGTACGCAAAAATGAAAGCCCTTCCTCAGGTACTCCTTTTGAAGTCGCCAAGTTTTTCATCGAGCCCATTGTCCTCCGACACGGCGCTCCCGAAGTTCCTATTACAGATCGTGGATCATCGTTCATGGCATGGCTGACACAAGAAAACCTCCGGCTCAGTCACACCAGCCACCGTCATGCCACTGCGTACCACGCGCAGACCAGCGGGCTGACGGAGCGTCTCAACAAGGCAATCGTCGACATGATCTCTATGTACGTCGACGTCGAGCACAAGATGTGGGACGAGGTGTCGCCCCACGTCACGTTCGCCTCAAAACAACACGGCGATTCAAGAGACCACTGGATTTACAGCTTTTCTTTTTGTACATGGTCAGAAGATCACGACCATGCTGGACAGTATGCTGCCCTATGAACCACCTGATGATGAGAGCGACAACGATATCTCTTCTGATTTGGTCGTGTAATATTTTGTTTCTTGACGAGGCACTGCACAAAACATGAAGCGGTCCGGCCTTCAAATAGAGGTCACGGATACGCGTACCGCCATTCCGGTATGTGGTGCATAGCGCTTCTCATTCTTGTCTGAATTCATTGAAGTTTGACTCCGCCACTCAGACTGATCTCTGAAAATTTTTCCCCCATACTAACATGCAAGCCCTCGAGCAGTCATGTACTTGAAGAGTAGCTCCGGTGGCGGGATAAGCGCCTATTTTGTATTGATCGAACTCTTTGCTGATCTTACTCGCAACGCTTTTATGCGAAACTAGCCACGTGCAATCAAAAATTCCTAATTTATGAAGTTAACTTCAACCACGCTTAGAATAAATAATGCTGTCACGGAAACGTCAAAGATATATTTTTCTTTTTGTTCTGGAATTAATCAAACGAATATCCTCACCAGGAGCGGGTTCTTTCAAAGGGCTGCCTCCGATTGTGGCGATTTTCTTCAGCATGGGAAGCGTTGAGTTGCCGGCCACACACGACCGGGTAGACACCTTGCAGCGGTAGCCCTCCGGGCAGCAGGACTCGTGGTCGCTGCAGCACACGGCGTGAGGGTACGGACAACAGCCGTACCGGCCTCCCGAAAGCAGACAGCAGGTTTGGCCGTCTTGGCAGAAATTTCCATCTGGGCACCGGATGCTTTCGCCTGCAATGTGCCAGAGATAGTTGATCATACTCAGAAATCAACGTGTTGAAAGCAATTCCAGAGAGTTACATTTTTCACAAAGGCATGGCATATTTGGGGGCGGTGCTTCTTGTTTGTTTGTGAAGTGGGAACATGTTGACTAAGAAACAAAAAGGACCTCTGGCGACCGAAGTCACTTTAAACAAGGCCGCTTGTATAGAAGCAGAATATTTTGTCACCTGCTCATTAGAGGCCGCAGACCGCGCGTGTGCGCAAAAACACAGCAACATCGACACTAATAAAACAGCTAGACTTGACAGTCCGTCAAATGCACTGAATGTGCGATAGCATTTAATAGATATCTTTTATGCCATATTTTTTTAAGTGTTGCGGCGTACCGGTTTTGTAATTTACCCTGATAGTTTTTAAGCAGGTCCAACATGACTTCATTGTTTATGGCGAAAGTTTCATATGATCCCCGTCCAATTGTGGTTGGTGTTTCTCGGTTTTTTAGAGCGCAGCTTTTAGGCGCCCGTTCACGGCTTGAGTGGCGTCGCCGTCGCCGTCGCCGTCGGCGTCGGCGTAACCGCGAGTAACCCTCGTAACCCTTGTGAGGGTTACGAGGGTTACAAGGGTTACTCTCACGAGGGTTACCCACGTAACCCTCGTAACCCTCACGACGGTTACTAGTGTTAGTTACCCTCAAAAGGGTTACCCTCACGAGGGTCACGAGAGTTATGAGAGTTACCCTCACCAGGGTTATGAGAGTTACCCTCACGAGGGTCACGAGAGTTACCCTCACGAGGGTCACGAGAGTTACCCTCACGAGGGTCACGAGAGTTACCCTCACGAGGGTTACTAGGGTTACCTTCACGAGAGTCACGATGGTTACCCAGGTCACGTGACCCCCCTCCCAAGGTCACGTGACCCCCCGAGGTCACGTGACCCCCGCTGACGTGGTCGCTACTGATGACGTCATCAGTGACGTCACGGATGACGTCACGGGCATCCGCATCGTCATCATCACTGATGACGTGACGTCACCGGCATCCGCATCGTCATCGTCATCATCACTGATGACGTCACCAGTGATGTCATCAGTGACGTCACTGATGATGTCGTCAGTGATGTCATCAGTGACGTCACTGATGACGTCATCAGCATTGTCACGTGACCCCCCAAGGTCACGTGACCCCCCGCCACCCGAGATCACTTGACCCTACCTCCCAGTGTTCTTCCCTCCTCCTCCTCAAGAGCTGCGCTCTAATTCTGCGTTACAGGGAGTTGTAAACGGCTTTCATTTTTTTTCTTCTGTATACTGCACAATTTCTCTTCAGCTGCTTTTCCGCTGCCTTCTATTGTAAAATTATCATTGGCATAGCGGTATCCTGGTCACTGCTTCACGTTTCAACGGGAAACCTATTGAGCCGTTGTTACTGTTACTGCTAATGTATTAGTGGAGATGGTTATGATTAAAAAGATCAAAAACACCATTGCAGGGTGGAGCGTATTATTTCTTTCTTGCGCACTCAATCCCCTTCTTCTAGTAGGTCATGGTTTGCAAGATATTTTAACCCGCCAGCAAAGTTAAATGCAAAATGACACAATATTGGGCAGCAATTTTATGAAGTATTAATTGCGTAGAGGGACACACGACAAATAGCAGATGAGGGCAAGTATCAAAATACGCGACTACCGCAGTGAAATTATGAACATAACAGCGGAGTTTTGTTTTGTTTTCTCTCTCAGAAAAACTTGCTGACTATTGCGACCGAATACGGCCCAAAGATGGAACTGGAGCGTGTATCACCAGTCTCGATTACACCCCCGATAAGAATCCATCTCTCGGAAAGCAATTGGGGATCGTTTTTGTGGAAGTAAAGTCTCGATAACAGCACTTGCTCTGAGCATTGTCCAAGTCGGGAACGAAGATGTAATCAACATTGACGGCCCGCGCCCGCACCGAGACACCTGAAACCTCGATGTAGCGCGGACTTGTGTAGGTTAACTCTGCTTAGTTGTATTAGTGTTTTGCCTAAACAGTTAGCACGTATGGACGTCAGTGAACGCATATCCTAGTTATTGTAAGCGTCAAATAAACGTCTAAACAAAATTTAGCAAAAGAAAATGGTTTGCCTTTTTTTAGTATAGAACTTGATGTCGTAGTCGCTAGAAAATATATCAAATATTAACAAATAATTAAGCAACTTTAAAGGATATTTTTTCTAATTAGCGGAATCTTGGGGGACCTAGCCGTTGTAGCAACAGTTAAAGTCACAACGATGACCAAACCTATATATTGTCACAAATCAGTCATCTGAAATATAAACTCCCCAGTTCAGTGCCTAAGCATTCACAATGATTGCAATTTATCGTCGAGCACAGATATGTCTTATGTCAACGGTTCAGAACCGTTTCTTGTCTGATGTACAATATAAAGTGTTTCGTTTCCTTATCTGTAAGTAGAAACATTACGCGTGCTCTAGTATACTGAGGTATGGCATTACTGTCTTCGTCAATTGTCCTCTCTTATGATACACAAGGACCGATTGCAATTTTAAAGGTATCCTAAATAAAGGATGTTGCTTATCGCACAGAACACACATAGAGTGATAACTTGTTCGCCTCACTCGAATTGCCGTTGTTTTTCTTTCTATTCCTACAAACCGTCATCTGAAAACACTTCCGGGAGAGCGAGTTTAAAATCACATCCGCCCCACTTCGTGAGCTTCGAGCAGTTCCCCGTTTCCAAATTCCAAGAGCATTGTTATAGTGAAAGTGTGTACGCATTCTGTGTGCCAAACACTGGAAATACCGAAATTACGGAGAAGATGCAAGCGAGCTGGTGAACTTTCAACATTGAATACTATTGCAGATTTATTGTTTTTCTTGATTTCAAACAAAGCACTAAAGGAAACTCTTAGATCCATGTTTTCTCATGTGTTGTGACAGCGATCTTGATTGCAATGGGAAACCTGTCTGAGCAGTTATTTTCACCTTGTTTATTGTCATTTTTGCAGACGAGCATACTCAATGACGTAACGGATTCGGAATTTCAAATGAACTAACTTACTTTGTTTCTTTTTGTCCTTGTACTGTCTGTATTTCCTTCTTTTTCCCTGGTTAACACGCGAATTTCAGGTTCCTTTCCTCTAACTGTAACTGTTTTTTTTTTCTTTGTTGAAATGTAACTATTTACAGAGACCTCTCCGAACTTTCAAGACCGCATCGCGGCAGTCTGACAGCATGTCTGTAAGATTTTTTATTGAAGACTGCGTCGTAGTAGAGTGAACATGCATGTGTGTGTGTGTGTGTGTGCGCGAGAGAGTTTTTATTCTCAAATAAAAATAATGGTGGATGAGATGCTAATTCATCTCATCCACCATCTCGAGCAAGCACACTCCTCTTCATACTAACACTCTCCACGTGGCAATGGGCGCGCGTGTGTATGTTTTCCTTTACTTAGTTCCTCATTGTATACTTCATCTCCAACATTGCTAATAACTCTACGCTGTTTCAATATGGGCCTAATATTTGAATGCTGTAAACGTCTTTTTTTTTTTCGTTGCATTTGGCAAGTGGTTTTTTCTATCATAATTCTGGACCTGGTCGTACAAGCACTAGCTGACTTTGACCAGTCGGACATAAACTCTGCCACATCCGCATTCCTTAATAACAATAGTTTTATTATATTTATTTTCTATTACTAATATTATTGTAACTGATATTATTATTATAACTATTATCATTAGTAGTAGTGATAGTAGTAGTAGTATTACTGAACAAAACTTGAGGACACAAGTGAGCTGGTGTGTTATTGAGGTCAGTGGCATTGCGTGCAAGTTTGCCTGTGTCCCACAGGTGCAAGTAAGCTCGTGCCAACGGAATATCGTTGCACGCCCCCTTTAAAGCCTTTAAAAAAACACGACCCTCCCCCCCTCCCGGTCAGTGTGGCCTGCACGTCTTTTTGACCGCACGGGCGATATGACATTCTCCAGTCCAGCCCGGCCACTCTGAAGCAATAATGGCGAGTGTGTCATGCAACTAATATCCATGGGCCTTCGTGTCAGCCGTTTGCAGTTGCAAGCGCAATTTTTTTTAAAAACCTCACAGGCCGAAAAAGCGTTTGAAAATAACCAGATGCAGAATGAAAATGTCCTATTCCACCACCAAAAAAGACGTGCACATCGCCAGGGACGGGTCACACGTGCATGTGTCAAGATGTCCTTTGCACGCACCTCGATTGCTGTAATACGCGGGCATTTAGATGATTTGTAAAAATCTACCCCACGGGAATGTAGTTATTTTAATGTTCTTTTTTTTTTTTTTTTTTTTTTGCCCCACAAGCGATGGTTCTATTGAAATAAAAAATATCGCAAGCAGGATCTCAGCATGTGAAACGGGCCGAAACCGAGGGGTGGGTCATTGCAAAAAATTTATTTAAGAATATCATTGGAAGCTTACAAACAATTCCGGTACTGCAAAATATTAATTTTAAAGTAAAACTAAAAATTTCCGGAAATTAAAGGGTGTTCTTTAAGTACACGATCCTTCTAAGCAATTACCGATCGACAACATCTGTATATGGCCAACTACAAGTAAACTACGAGGCCCTTAGGTGTACGCCAGTTAAAGGTTAGGTATTACCGTATACAAATGTCACAGTTGTACGTATGGGCTAATAGGAATTCGAAATAATTGGCATTTCACCCTTAAAAGCCCCAAAAAAGGAACCGTGTATACTTATTCCATATGGCCTTTGCCTCACTGATAAGTATTTATTCAGATTAATGTCGCATGTAAATCTACTTCAAAGCTACGCTTCAAGTATCTGCACTTTGTTGCCCAATCTTCTCGTGGGTGCAGTAAGTTTTGTGCTAGAGCGAACGCAAAGTGAAGATTGTTAAAATTAAAACATTCGCCCTCCAAGAGCTTAACATACCATGCTAGGAAAATCAGACAATATCATTTTGCTTTGTCGTTGAGCGTTTTGCCACCTCTGCAGGGGAAAAAAACTGCTTCCTGCGGTCTCAGAAATTTCGCAAAAGTGGCGTCAATAATTTTAAACGCCAAGATGGCTGAAGCGTTCTGACCTAAAGCATATTTTACTTTTACTGGCTCCAGTTCAAGAGTCTCAAGCACATGGCCCACGAATTTGTCATCATTCGACCCTTGCATCTTGCGGGTGCGAGGGCCAAGTCTTATGCCTCAGGCGTGGCTTGCACCATAGGTGTGATGACGTCGATTGGTCGTCTCTTAGACATATGCAACAACGTAGGGGACTTTATTACCGTTCTGAATGCCAGACTGTTGTTATAAGATGTTTACCATACTTTGCGCTTCGTGGTTTTGCACTGCGTAAGTTTTATGCTCAATGGGTTTCTCTTGTGTACGGTGGATAATATGTAGGGACTTAAATAAATGACAATAAAGTGCGATTCATTTTTTATACATGGTGTTATAAAACTTGTCCCCGCCCCCCTGCAAAAAGGCAAGCACGGCACAGAAAAAAAAAACGTGGATGACCTATTAGTTACCTCCAAGGGACCTATTTAGAAAAATGAATAATATTGGATATAATGGAAAACTCTTGATTGTATTTCACTAGTTACTCTTTTAATTTGTAAGTTTGAACTTGTGGTTTCAATTACAAACGACCTGGCATCATCTAAACCCCCAAAATTGGCGCTCCTTACAAAAATATAAAGCACGCGCAGCATTCTACGACGTTCCAGAAACAACACACCAAATTTGTTCGCGTTTTTAGGTTTTGGTGTTCTTCATGGTGCCCGGGCCCCCGCCGAAATCTTCCACTTCGCTGGGGCCTCCTCTCCCCCTCCCCTCTCATACAGCATTTTGTCATGCCCCTCCAAATCCTGGATAGGTGCCTGTTCCGCTATAGATGGGTTGCACGTGACGTCGTTCAAAGAGCGCTCCGATGCCCACCAGAGGAGAGGGCAAGGAGCTCCCCTCCAATCAGGGTCCTCTTTTCTGGATCCTGATAAGAGGGGAGCTCTTAGAAAAGCAGCTTCCCTCTCCTCCTCTTACATGGTGGTCAAAACTATGCGATGTGACGTCAGTGCAAACCATGTATATTGACAAAACCTGGCAGATCGCTACGAGACGCGGCAGCCGAAAGTGAAAAGGTAGAGCGGAAGACAACGGATGAGAGGAGAGGCATGCTACGGGCGCCCCACTGCGGCGTGACACCGAAACACACATCTCCCGAGTGATGTGTGTTTCGGTTTCGGCCCGTGCCCCTCGCGCTACCGCTTCTTTTCTCGTCGAGTTTAAAAACCATGTTTCCGGTCCTCGCCGCTGCAAAAGCTGTGTGCTGAACACTAGAAATGCTCTCTGCTACCAGGTTTTCGCGCTCCAACTGTCCGACCGAACGACCGGGCACTCGAACTGCCAGGCTATGGCATGATGTATAAGCAGCGATACCCAGGCTTTGGGTTCGTTGTAGCGGCTAAAACTTCCATGAAGGCGGCGGTAAAAAGCTACGCTGCAGACGTCGGGTAGAGCAACAACGGCAATGCCAAATAAATCTCACGGTTTTTTTTTTTTTTTTGCTGCCGGGACAATACTTTATTTAGTGCGAAGGAACTCGGGGGGTATTTTTGGGAAAGCCAGTGCTGTCATTCTGCCAGGGTTCAAAATCTTCATTAACCGGAGCGAAATTCATAAACTTTCTTTGAGGTCGACGCTATCTGAAGCCAAGTTGAGCTCTTTGCAACGCCTGAAAAATATGGCCCAGGGCACAGTTTCTTTTACGGGCACTCAGAGCTTTCCACAAATTTAAACTTTCACCAGTAATAGCGAAAAAAAACAAACTAACATTCAATCGCCCCCTACCCGCCGTTCGAACGCGACATACTACGCGAGGAGCAGACGACGTACGTTCCCATTGGAGGGAGACAGATAGCCTTTGCGTCTACTCACTCATTCCTCCAATCAGATGTACTGGCGTGGAAAACTCTACTGCAAAAGAGTACAACTTCATGCGTCTTCGCGCCGAAAAATAAATTGAAAGTCTCCTCAGAATTGAACGGAGTGCCGGCCTAGTCCTTTCTTCGCGTTGGGTGTTTAGAAGTCAGAAAACAATAAAGTTAAAAAGTCAGAATCAGTTCCAGTGCGTCTCTGCCCCGGGAATGCTGAGAAACCGAATCTCAAGAAATTTGGCGCTACCAATATGGCCGCGCACAGAGTGAAACCAGGCCACCAAAAAGTTTCATGTCGTCTATTGAGAAACGGGAACGGCAGTATGCGTGCTCGTTTGGCTTAACTGAAAAGTGCCACCACGTTGGTGGGCTTTGGCATTTTGATTCTTGTTATCAAATAAGGTAAGAGCTTAAAATTGTCCTATCAAGACATCAAAGTTGAACGTGGACCTGGCAAAACTGCAAGTTTAGACAAAGCAAAAAGCGTGAGGTTCCTTCTCTGTAAAATTGACTAAGCCACCCTCCTTTTCCCCCCTCCCCCCCTCCTTCTACCCTCACACCTAACGTTGGCCCTCGACCTTTCGGGGGCGGGCTATCTGTTCCCCTCAACCTTCCGACTGTACCCGTCGGCGCTACATTTTGTAAATGTTCTCTGACCTTCGCTAAAAAAAAAAAAAAAACTGTGTTTCCGCACACCAACTATGGCCGCACACTGCAAAGTAACAGGCTCCAATGTGGCCCCGCCCTGCTGGTCAAAGCGCGTCGCCATCTATACTGTAACTGCACATGCTCCGATATTTAGTTAGTCTATCGCCCAGGGTTGGGCAGAAATACTCAAAAATGTATTTGGAAATACAAATACTGGGATACATTAAAAAAAGTAGCCAAAATATTGATACTAAAATACATCTGCAAAAATGTATCCCGATACGTATCGTTTTACATTTTACATTTTAAATAGAGGCAAAAAATATTTGGAAATACAAATACAGGAATACATTTTAGGGAGGGCAGAGATACAAATACAGAAATACTGATACTGCAATACATTTTCACATCTGTTAGAGACGGCAACTGAGATGAATCTTAAAGTTTGAAGTGGAAGTTTTTTACCCCGAAATTACTTTCCCGTAGGCTTGGCACTTTGCCTTGAAGGTAGTGGCTTCGGACGACGAGGAGTCTTCAATGGGCTCAAAAAAACGTTCCATCAACGACTGACCGCGGTCCCTTCCCTGACATACTGTCTGTCTGGCGAGGGATGCGAAAAGACTTCGACCTCTAAATAAATTCTACGTCACCCAAAATCCCATCAAAACGTCACCACGCCCCTCTCCAATAAGGACGTCCCTGCCAACATTGATCACATGACGTCACGGTGGAAAAAATTTATATTCTTTATCTGTAGGTGTGGCCTTGAACATTAAAATTTACCACGCTGCTGTACGAAAGTACAATAGGTACTTTTGTTGTAGGTTACCTCGTTAAAAGATCGTGCAGGCAGTGTCATTTGGAATTTTTGAGAATAGTGCACCACCTGAAGCACCCTGGAATACGTGTCTTATCTTCTGTTACGGTTGAAAAAAAGATACGATGGCATCCCTGTTGTGAAGGTCCTTCCTGCAGACCATCCGCCACCGACGCATGGATTTCAGTCATCAAGTTTGGCCTAGCATCACCCAAACAGAGACCTCATGGATTGCGACCTGATATTGCCGGCACAAGGGCGAGCTCTCCGAGAAACAGCGCGCTCGAGACGAGTCGCAGGTGTACGAAGTCTGGGTCGGCATAGCGAGGCCACGTCTGGCCTCCTTCCTGGGTTTCGGATCCCCAGAGCAGCGGGTCACGTTCATGTCGGTTGATGATGTACCATTGAGCCGTGCAATATTAAGGACGCAGCCGCAGATGCAATTGATCAGGTGTTGAACTTCACTGCGTGAGTCATCCTACTATTTCAAGTCAACCACCGCCAGGCTCGTGCTGCAAAGGACTGTGTGTGACTCAGCTTTGCCGCCTGGGTGTATGTGTACGCTAAGGCAAGAGATACATTTATAAGCGTACATTGGATGCCAGCAAACAATGACTGAAGAAATCCCTAGCTAAGGACCTGCGGCAGAAGATGCTCTAACTCCACTCCTGGCATGCCACCTGGTTCGAGTCCCCGACTACGCAACATTTCTCAAAAGAGAGAAGAGGACGCATAGAAAAATAGTTTGGAGAATCGGAAGAAACCTTGGTCAGCATAGCAGCAATGCCCCAGCATCTTTTCAAACATGATGCCCTGAGAAGTAAAAACAAATAAGAAAATATGCGTTCGGGTTTGTTTCTTTTTTCGGTGGGGTGGGGAGAGAGTATTTCTCAAGAAATGTAACGAAATACATTTCATCCTGATTGTATCGCGATACAAAGAAACATTCCAAATGTATTTCGATACAGGAATACAGGTACTGGTGAATGAAATGTATTGCGATACAGAAATACAGATACAAAATGTATCTCTAAAATACTATCGCGATACATTTGTATCGCGATAATGCCCAACCCTGCTATCGCCACCCTGGTATCTGAGCATGTTATGTTATCCTAGAATAAGCACACCGCTAACATTCATATTTTGCTGTATGGACGCCACCTCACCGATTGAAGCAGTGAGTAGCGAAGGTTAGATAATGGTTTCATGGTCCCTTAAAAGCCCAAGTTTGTATGAGATCGCTGTACATACGCCTTGCGTCGTTCACGGCCGGCGACAGTGGTCTCCGTGCCGGGAGCTTCCTCAAGGCCGCTGCGAAGATGTCTCCCTTGAGGCAAGAAGCCGTGGCCGTGTCGCACTCGTATCCGCTGGGGCAGCAGTGCACGTCGTCAGAGCAGCAAGTGGCGTTCTCGTAGGGGCAGCAGCCGTAGCTCCCGCCCTGTAGCTGGCAGCATGTCTGACCGTCGGGGCAACTGCCTCCGTCGGGGCACTGCACGTCCGACACTGCAGTGAACAAATTCGACGCCGGTTTTGTCAAAGAAAATAGCGTTCTTCTTGTCGTCCTCACGCACGGTTTGTATGCTTGCCTGATGAAGCTACTTTCGAGTTTTGTTTGTTTTCTCGATGAACGTTTATCGGTAGAATTTTTCTTTATTTATTAGTTAAAAAAACATTGGGCGCTCTAATAATGAGGTGCTCAAAAAACAATATGTGAAACAATAAACATATCCTAAATAATGCTGGCAAGCGGCATCAATGCAATAAAGACGTAGAGGTTTAAAAGAGATTTAAAGTATTTCAAATTAATCGTTTTGTAGATAGAATTAATCTAACTTGACCGGACACAATTAACTAAAAATGGGATATGATCCTGCTTTCCTCTGCAATTTTTTTCCCCACAAAGCCTTTTCCGGACTTTTGGTAAAGCGAACATTTTCGTCCAAATAACGTCTTAAACAATATAAATTTCTCGTTTTGTTCTTTGTCGTCGCAACGCATAAACATAGACAGCCTCAACATTGCCCCCTGTATCTCAAGATGAAAAAAATTTATGTTCCAGCCAGTTAATCTGAAGTGCGTTAAGTACAAGCTCCAACACCAAGGCTGCAAATGCGGGCATCATGCACTAAAGAAACGATGCAACAGCTTTAACTTCGAAAGGAATGCAGCTGTTATTTTTACCGTGTTTATCTCACCCTAAAAAGTGAAGAAACCGCCACGTTCTTTTGAGACATTGTGATTCCTTTGCGACCGAGTACGACTGAGAGAAACGAGATCTCTTAAAACTTCTTAAATTTTTTGAAAATGAGAAAACACACTGGCATTGTGGCGCCATCTATGCGGTGACCCTGGAACTGCATTTCACAAGAGCGAAGGTTTTGCGGGATTTCCGAGGTCAAATGTGCGTAATACCCATAGAAAGGCTTGTTTATAAAATTGACAAAAGATTTTCGAGCCAAGAAACAAAGGATAATGCTCGAGAAATAATAAAAATATGCCGGACCGCCGAGTTTACACTGCTTCCCAACAGATGGCGCCAGTGTGTTCTCTGATTTATGAAGTTTTAAGGAACCCAGGTTTAAGAGGTCGCAAGAGTGTGAACGGGCCTTAAGAGTTTAGGAGAAAGTTCTGTCACTTCTTCCTACTTTAATGGATCAAACGCAGGAGAGGGTGTTTCCCCCTCCCCAGCGTTTGCTCTGCTAATGTGAAAAGAGGTAGGAGGAGTTTCCCTTGAACTCTTAATTTGTCACCGCGACTTCCAACCTTTTTGCGGCAGGGCAAGCAGTTCGTCCTCCCCCTCCCTCCCCCCTCCCTTTCCCTCTCGGCCATTATCCATATTGGTCAGGCCTATTTTCAAGTTCGCCATGTGAATCGCAGGCAGAGGCCGTGAGTTGAAGGCTCTGATTGAGAGCCCGACCGGATACTCCCTATTGAACCCGGGAACACGTCACAGCGTACGTGACTCGGAAGACACTGTAAGGGTTGAGAGTGGTTGGGAAGCGCCGAAAATGTCAACTGTTTTCCAGATTTTAAAAGATAATTAACGCGCGCTCACAAAATTGGTTTTCATTTCTTTAATCCAGACGTGGCAGGGAACGGCTCCCACAATTATCGACTGAAGTCCACACATTGATGCACGGCAACTTTAAAGTGACGACACAACAATTTTTGTCTTTTTAGTAATTGCCTCCTCAACTTATTCCTTGGCATTCTTGACCAATGAGACACGCTTTCGTTCCTTTCTCCACGCAATGCCAGTCCCAAAAAATAAAAAAAGACAAGCAGCGTTTATAACAATCACCTTTTCTTTAACTTGCAGCCAGAACAACCGGCCATGTGTCGGGAGCCCGATTCTATGCCGGCAATGTTTAACATAATCACGCGCTGGGGACTGGCACAGAGAAAGAACACGTGTTGAGTTCCACGCATTATCAAGCTTCGACTCTTCCCATCGTCGCAAAGATTGGGCACAAGCCGCTACCCAAATGCATGACGAGGCATCAGTTGGTACTGGCTATCTAAAGGAGTAGTTTGCTCCCACATTACATTCGATGATGCACTTCACAGTATCACTCACTTAATCCCTCTACACTGTGCGGTCACTCGCGTTTATGGGCCGCCTGGGCAAAAGTGTAGATCCGGACCGTCGGATATTCGCATCCGATCCCTATCCGCAGCCCCTGGCATCCGCACCTGATCAGCAATCTGCCAGATCTGATCCGTATTTATCCGCATCCGCCAGTTTACTCCGGATATCCACGGATTATCCGTGAGTATTCCGCGGATATGCCCAGGGCTCTACACCCCGCCTTCCCCACACACACTCCCATATCACGGAGCGACTGGCCGGCTAGCCCCAGAGCCGAAGCCCAACTCGCCCTGGCCGACCACGCGGAGGCTTCCCCAGCAGCCTTTTCAAGCGACCTGGACTAAGGTGGCCGTCCAGCGGAGCGCATGAGGCAAATTGTAACGCTATCTTTTCCTTTGCCTTTTTTAGGGCCAAAGAAATTTAGCTGGGATTATCGACAGCAGACGAGGAAAGCAAGCAAGGATCGGCGCGTTGCACCAGCGTGTATGAGACATCGCAGCGTATCAGCTCCACTATCGAAACGAACATTCAGTTTTCACACGGTTAAACCATACCTAATATATCGAAATACGATCGATTCATGAAGCGCGCTTGGTTCATGTGAAGGCGCTCGCTGCGGTAGTCGTCCTTAGGGGTCAGCAAAAGCAAGCAGCGGTCTACGGAGGAGCACAGTTCAGCGGGTTGGGTGAGGCAAGTTGAAACCCTGTCTCTTCGTTTGCCTCTTTAGGTACTCATTCTTGCTTTTCTCCGTATGCCACCTCACTGGACTGCTTCTTTATTCAAAATGCCGCTTGTTGAATGCTTAACTTGTATCATGTAAATATCTGCGGATAGCCCTACCAAGTATGAAGTGTGTTTACTGTAAGGCTAGTTATCATGTAGGGAAGTGTGCCGGGGTAATGAAGACAACTCTTAAGACCCTGACTAGAGAGGATTTGACTGCTTGGTAGTGTGAAACCTGCAGGCTTCATGAAACTAGACAGTTCACATTTTCAACGAGGGGCTTTAAGGAAGATAGCCAACCTAGTATCGCAGATGGAACAGTGGAAGAACCGATTGTTGCGGTTTTGATATAACATATCCTTGATATGAGCAAAAAACTAACTGAAGTTTTAGACCGAATGAATAACATCGAGAAGGCCATCGATGAGCAGTCTCACGAACATGACGCCGTAATAATAAAGCTGACTATTCAGGAGAAAACTGAAAGGCATACAGCACTCGTTGGAAGTGATAGGAAAAGAGTAACATTAACTTTTGGAGAAGGTAAATGTTCGAGACAAAGAATTAAACTAACTGAAAAAATAGGACCACTGAATTGGAACAGACGGTTGCTAAGGGCGAATTGTAGATCCAGAAGCTCAAGACTACGGTAGGTTCCACTGAACAGCACTAAACAAAAAGTAGAAACTCACGGAATCTCCTTAAACGTTTTAGAGAACCTTGTGGAAACCATCCAGCAGCTCCCTGCTAAGGTGCACCTACCGGTCTCGTCACGCGAGAATATACAAGCAATACATAGATTGAGCCCAAGGGAGGGTAGAATCCCGCCCATCATTGTCCGATTCGAGGACAGAGCGGTTAGAGTCCTCTGAGTCTTCAAATGAAGAGCTTTGGCGAATGAATGGGTATTTTCTAGCGAAAGCCTTACAAAGTTACTGTGACAACTTTTTGGGAAAACGAAGTTGTGCGCAAAAGAGAATGGCTACAAATCTGTGTTGATTGCTAACGGAAAAATTATGGCTCGAGAAAACAGAGGTGCACTTGCGATCAAAGTAACGAGGAAAACAACAAAAAAAAAAAAAGGAACTCTTTCGGGTACAAACTGCGAGCCACAGCGGACGTCAGGGATTGCATGAAACGTGTTTTAGCTAAATAATTAATTAAGTCTAATATTAACCTTTTTAGTTTGCGAAATAAGCATATAGTTACATTAAGAACATTCTGTGCGTCATCATAAACTCTTCTATTAGTCAATTTTAGGAGAACTTAAAGCAAGTTTGAGCTCGGGGGTGCGAAAACATTCTCTTTCTTGCAGCAGGCACAAAGTTGGCGATGACGGTACTTCCCTTGATGCTTTCATTGAACAGATTCGAGTATCTCTTACTGGTGCTATTTCACGGCACTAGTGCTAGTGCGAAATCACTCTTTTAGGGTGCACTCCGCTGTATCCGTAAGTTGTATAAAAAGCTGTACTGAACACAAAACACGGCATGCATTTGGTCGCTAAGCATACGAAGTAGCTGCGCCATTCCTAAGTTGGTTGTTGTGCCTGCCCGCTGCTCATATTTCCCAACGTTCCGTTGATTGTTTTTGTTATCCGATTGTTATTAAAACAAAGGTATTTTACGCGATGCATTCATCTACCCTATAAGCTCTAGAGAGTGCACTCTCGTGGAGGCTTGAAGTAGTACAAACGTATCATTCAATAATTTTCGTAAAAAGCTTTCGGCTCGTTTTCAAATATGAAATACTGATTAGATTATCATCATCATCATCAAATATGAAATACGAAACTACTAGGTTCCAAACCATACAATAATGCCTATGTGTGTGCTAAGTTTTTCTGGTCAACTAGGTGTGGGGTTTCAAATGTGTTCCTCGAAGTATCGCTATTACCCATTGTTACGCACAAATTGAAAGAAAACCTGATTGTGATAGACGCTCAGTTTTCAGACGTGAGTTTCGATTATTTTATGTCACCAAGAACTGGGCCTTCGCATATCTTCTTTTGCAAACAGTGCAAGTAGCCGTTCGCAGTAAACGCCGTGCTCAAAATGGCAACAAATGAAGTGCTGACCCTTCGCGGTATGGGCACTGCACGGTTCGGCCTGCAGCAGCCCAAGATACCTTCGTGTCGACCAGTGGCGTGTCACCTCTCTTTCTTCTCTTGGGCTTAATATGCTGGGCTTCGATTATACCGTCGATGGCAGGGGGATATTGGTCCCTGGAGTTACTGACGTCGTGCCCAACCAAACACACCTTTGGAGTCAAACTTTTATGAATAGCCAATGAATCGATATCACGTTTTTGGTGCTGTTGTGTCTGGTTTCATTGAGGGAAATGATTGTACGATGATAATTAAATTAATGCGTGTTTAACACCCTCAAAGGGCCAACATTGACGGTGTTAAAACGCGATGACTACAAGCTTCCACCGTGGTGTTTACACACACTACGTAGAGTCGCTGACGGAAACTCATCACGTGGCGAGATCATCTTATTACTGCTCCGCAGCCAATGAGATTTCGCCGCCCATAAGCACGCCAAAAAACAAATCACAAAGCAAGTCTCGTGCGAATAATCACCTTGCGTATCTTATGCTCTCATTCACTTTAACCATCTTGTCGTTCGAAACTATTATTAAGTAGCCAGGATTACAACCATTCCCCATGATCCCTGTCCCCAGTGGATGGTTTTCCTGAAAAATAACTATCATGTGCCTATTCAGAGAGCAAGTCGTCTGCTTCTTTCGCAGGAGTTGTTGTGACGTCAGAACGACGTTGAGCTCTGATTGACTGATTGAAAACAATAGTGGGTAGACCTCAAGGCATCTAGCATTGAGGTCTACCCACTATTTTTTTAATTAAGGCCAATCAGTGCTCTGCCGTCACAACAACTCCTGCGCAAGGAGCAGAGGACTTGCTCTCCGCATTGCGTCACTAAATGCTTAGCCTAACTCACTCTACTAGAAAAATTCTGGTCATGATATTGCGGGTAGGAATCACGAGATGGCGCCACCGAAACCATAACTGTGTACATTGCATGCTCCTAGCTAGGTTCCCTCGGGCTCGCTTGACACTAACACAGACGTTATGTCTCCCTGTTTCTTTTTCTACTACGTATAACTGTTTCCTTTTTGTACCCAAGTCTCGGGATAAATTCGTCGTGGTCAATTTCCACCAGATCGCGTGCGCACTGACTATACTTGCATTACTAATGCTGCCCTTGACAGAAGGCAGGCTAATGTTTGTAAGGCAAGCTTCTTTCGATGAAGCTGTGCACTAGAAATGTAATCGAGCTTATTCTTCAGTGCTTCGCTGAACCACGCCTTACTCCCTTTAAGGACTTGAAGCACTAAAATTTCGTTTTGCTAGTTTTTGGTGCTGACAGTACGCATGGGACACGGGTCGTTGTGTTACAATCAAAAAGGCCTGGTGTAGTAAAGCCAGCCAGCCACGTCAGCGCAAAACAAAGCATGAAAACAAAAACAAAAAGAGTTCAATTTGCAGCTGAGTACGTAAACCCAAAAAACTGCACATTCTTAGCTGATTTTATTTTCCCCAAAAAAGTTTTGTAGACTCAGAGTTTAAAGCATATAAGTATACAGTTGAGGAAATCTCAAAACACCGTTCCACCTTACGTCCGGTCGCAGCGGATGACACAAGCCATCGAACTCAACCCAAGGCCGTGGGAGAGTTAGTGGACCTTGGAGAGAGGGCGCGGTAACAGGCAAAGAGCGTATCAGGTACTACGTTCACAGAGCTGGATTGGCCGGCATGGTGGTAGGATCCGCTGCGGTCGCACGTAAGGTGAAATGGGGTAGAGTTGGTGCAACTAAGACACCTATTCCCTTGCTATTGATTGCAAAAACAAGTATTTTACGTTGGTCTGTAACAAATATTAACTATATGTAGCCTACGAAATTTAAAAAAAAAAACAGCGTAGTCTGATCAATACGTGGCAGTCACTTTAAGCAGTCACTAACTGCTTAAAGGAGTTTTTTTTTTTTTTTAGCGTCTCAGCCAATGAAGTTGTGGCATTACACAATAAGAACTCTAACGAACGAGTCATGAAACAAAAAGCACTAACAAGATAAGCGACCCGTTTCTTAAGATATCAGGGACTATAGTGATTCGTATTTTCTGCAAGGTCACCATAAATAAATATTTGAAAGCGTTTCCTTCTTTGAGCTGCCTGTTCTTTTCCTCTTTTTGGCGCACCTTTGCAACTCGCCAGAACGAACATACAAAGGGCAACTTAAACTACATTTAAATCATGCGCCATAATGATTATGACTTCTTGACCAGATATTATTATATATGCTACTGGGAGCATTGGAATCTAACGTTTTGCATATTTTGAGAGAAATAACGAGTTAAAATACAGCATTCCCAACTAACTCTTGAGACATCATCTGCACGGTGAGTCAGCAATCGACTGGAAGATCTCACGACGTACCGAGGCGAGGCTTCTTGTCAGTTCTGAAGGCTGGGACTTTCTTCAGCATAGGCGACATCTCGTTGAGGCCAAGGCACGCCTGGATTGCCTCGACACAAACGGTTCCTTTCGGACAGCACGTCTCGTGGTCAGGGCAGCAGACCGCTTCGGGAAGCGGACAGCAGCCGTATGTCCCGTTTTTCGACTGACAACAGGTCTGCTGGTCGAGGCAGGAACTGCCGTCGGGACACGACACCGTATTGCCTGCAGCGAGCATTGAAAGTGGACGACAACAATGGGAATGTATACTGGCAACGAACGGTCGGCCATGATTTTGCTCAAAGAAAATGCATGGTCTAAAGTAATCGCTTCTTTTGCAGCTCGTTGCAAGAAAGTTGTGCTAATTGTGTTGCTGGTATGTTTGGGTAGCGAAATGTTATTCTGCCTCAAGGGCGAAAAGTCTGTGGTGCAATCCTTGTGTTCTGCTGCGCGTGTTTTTACACCCACCCCCTTTGCAAAAAGTCAATGATGACGTGTGCGACAAAATGTATCATCACGGTACATGATTGGACAAACGCCCACTATAGCGTGTTTAGTAAGATGTATTATCTTTTCATCAAATAAAATAAAGTAATGTAAAGCTGACAAGTTTGACGGTGTTGGATTAGGAGCCCGATGGCCCTAAGCTCTATCGTGCTTTTCACATAGACCAGCAAACCTGTCGCTCGAAAATGATTATCATTGTCCTGATGTCTAGGGTAGGAGCCATAGAGTTACTATAATGTATACTAGAGGTTCAGCTGGCACTAGTGTGCTGTTGTAAATTAAAACAGGCAGCAACCAGTCGAAAACTAAGTTCCAGTAATGCATTTCTATGGATAAAAGCGAGTGCATTATTTCTGTGTGCTTGCTTGTAAGAGCAAATATTACGAATAATTATAACGTAGTAAATATTTTAGAACATTTATCAATCGGGTAAATTAAAATATCAGCCAGTTACAATGTTTCCTTTTGTCAAATACATGTCAATAAAGGGGCGGTGAAACGATATTCAGTTAAAATGTTTTCACTTTACACGAGCTTACTAGCACGTGAGACCCACGCACACCCTGACGCAACGCCACTGACCAAGGAACTCCCTTGTTGCGGTGTAACTTCAAGGAGAAAAGCGAGCGTCTTGAGTCAATTTCTCTCTTCGCAAAACTTGATGACGTAGGGCATAGTTCCCACAGTGACGGTATATCAACGCTGCTGATAGATCGGACCCGAGCGTTGCGTTAACACTCGATTTAAGGTACATTTATACTTAAACGAAACGTCGACGGGAGCGGCGTAGCGCAGCGCACATTGATACAAATTGGTCGCAGAAATCGAGTTCCTGGTCGCCGGCCAATGAAAGGCGCGCGTTCTGGGCTACGCTGCGCTCCCTGCGCTCAACGTCGGAGTATAAACAGCCCTTTAGGCTCGCGATAGTCAATAGGTAAACAAACATTCGAGCACTGGCTCGTGCCCAATTGCCTCAATGACAACAATTAGCGGCGAGATGTTTTAGTGTCGCCCTCCTACGGTTACCCCTTGTGACGTCATTACCTTACAAACAACAAGTTCGATGGTGTTTGTAAATAGCATGGTGGAAGCTTGAAATCATTGCGCTCTCAAAGGAACACTGCCAACACCGCACGAAACTAAAGTTCTTTCATTCCTCTTATTTCCGTCGATGATAAATCCTTTTCTGACGCCATAGTCATCGTTCGGCCAATCGTGGAAGCCCGACCACAGCGACGCTTTCGGTCGCGCACGTCGCCAAAAGCTGAATCCTAACAATGTCTGGAATTTAAGGCGTGTCCTGAGTTTTGCAAACCTCAGCGCGTGGCTATGCTAAACATTGGCGGCATATAATCGGCTCCAGGTCACATGGCCGCTTATTCTGGCTATTCTGGCTGCGAGTTGAAGCAATACCAGCTAGAAAACAAGGACTGCACACGACGTCATCGTTAGTTGATCCCGACCCGCCTCAAGCGGCAAACACCCCGAAGCTTGACGAGAGTGTGGGCCACGCCGCAGCTACGTCGCATTCACTGGCGGCCATCGGCGGCGAGATGTTTCGGTGGCGCCCTCCTATAGTTCCCTCTCCTGACGTCAGTACCTCGCGAAGAACAAGTTCGATGGTGTTTGTAGTGAGCATAGTGGAAGCTTGAAATCGCTCCGCTCTGAAACTAACACTGCGAACAGCGTCCAAATTGCAGTTCTAACATTACACTTATTTCTCTCGATGAGAAATTCTTTGCTGACGTCAAGTCAGCATTCAGCCAATTGCGGCAGGCCGACCGCGGGAACGCGATCACTCATGTCGCCAATATCTGTGTAGGCGACTGCTGCTGAGCACGAGTTGATAGCGAGGTTCCGCAGTTCATTTTCAACGTGCACGCCACACCATCCAAATCGCCAGGCTTAGCAACCTATTAATCTAAACTCCTTCCGAGCATGACTAGAGCAATTAAATGAGCTACGCTTAGAATAGGGGCACTCTGTTCCCTGATCTGACATTGGGCGGCTCCATCTTGGTGCTCGGTGCTAAGTAGACGAAACTGTCGATCGTCACAATTCAAAAATGCGACTTCCTGAGCTTTAGATACGGTGTTAGGAAGCTCAGGTGATATTATGTTCCTCTGTCGTGAACTGTTTGAAGATTTCTGGAGTGCGTAAAAGCGTTTTCTGCGATTTCAGATAAAGCTTCAGATAACTGGAAACCATGATTTTAAGTACCAAGATGGCTTTTGTGTCGTTAGTCTGAAGCGTAGCTTATTTAGTGGCTTTAATCATGACCACTGAAGCAGGGGATGTCGCAGACGATGGTGCTCATCCGGGCTACCTAGGAGGCGCTGAGTTTATCTAGTAGTGATGGCGTTTAGACGAGGAAACGCGCAGGCCTTGTCTTCCAGGTGGCAATGGTTGAGGCGGTGAACGCTTCTCGTTCTTCTATAATTTCTTCTGCGACTTCGATTGCGAGTGGTGGAAAACGAACGGGTGTTTCAGAGGTCATTAACGTCAGCAATCCGTTCTAAGCGGTATTTGCTCAAAGTACAAAAATCGTTGCACCGCCCTTTAAGGGGCATATTACGCCCCTTAAAGGCTTTAGGAATGACGGCGAACCGGACTTTCTTTTTTGTGGCTGGTGACTAGCGATCAGGCCCGTGAATCATCCTTTCCATTACTGATCGAAGTCACCAGCCACAAAAAAGAAAGCCCGAATGGCCGTCATTCCTTACGTACACAATTCCGCCCACCGGATAAAATCCATCGCCTCAAAGTTCGACACGAATGTTGTCTTCTCGTGCCGCACGCGTCTTAAACAACTCTGTCAACAAGTGAACAACAACCGGATTCCGATTGGCTGCACTGTTAAACGCGAAAAGAAATTCATTCCATGCAAAGAGAAGAAAGTGTACTCCATCCCCTTGAGCTGCGGTCATCAATACATATGACAGACCGGCAGATGCACCAATCACAGACTCCGCAAACATCAAAACGAAGTTTCTAAGGCCTCTCCAGATTCTTATCATCCCATAGTCTTACATGCCCGTTCGTGTTTGCGTTGTCATCCCCTCTTTGATGGAACAAAAATCCTGGGGGGGGGGGGGGGGGGGGGGGGGGCATGACAGCAGATTCGCCAGGGAAATCATAGAATCATTCGCCATGACCACAGCAAAAGACAACGTGTCAAACCCTTCCCTCCTGCTGAAGAAAACAGAGGTTGAATTTCTGAAATCCGAGATAAGCCCACCACTCGGACTTGCACTTCGCGTTTCTTATCTTCCCTTCTCCCCCCTTCTCTTCCTGGGTATTGGGGAGGAGATCGAACAGTCACGCCTCTAGCGGTACGCTTCAGCTGTGGGGGCAACAAACCGAATTTTCTTGTTTGTTTTTCATCAGTGATATCGAAGATGACGATTCGAAGGCCAGCATTGGTCAGAGCGAAGCGCTCGGGTCCCGGCCGTGCATGAAGAGGTTCAATTTCTTTGTTATGCTGTGTTAGTAAACACCGGGCTGTGGGGACAACAACCTCAATAAAGCGCCACCTATAGTTCGATCTCCTGCCCAATAGTCGGCTGCTCGCTGATGAAAGTTTACTCGTCTGTTACTAGTTGAAAGATGTGGTTGGTGTTGTCCCTGTTTTAATTGTTTTATTCTTTCTTCATCCATGACTTAAACCAACACGCTCTTTTCCCAAGCAGCTTTGTCAAAAGCATTGGAGAAATTAAAAGAAAAACACAATCAATTTCGCAATAATCATCAAGATAATGATGAAGATTGTACGTGAATGATATTAGTTGCGTCTCACATGAGGAATGTTTCCGGAAGCCGTGCTGCGAGTTTGTGAAAAAGTCATTCGATTCAAGAAAGTTAACTGCGAGTAGGTTATGTCTTCGAGAATTTACATGGCACACTTGTTAAAGAAATTGGTCGATAATTGAATGAGTTATGCTTTTCACCAGATTTATGTATAGGAACCACCTTCCCAACTTCCCAATCGCTTGGGACTGTACCCAAGTTAAGAGATTGCACATAGATAGTTGAGAAGGTTATGAATCAATACATATTACAATTTTTTAAGAACTTGGTGTTAATTCATTTGATTCCGGCACCAGATGAAAGTTTCATATTATCAATAACGCCAGCGACACCAATCGCGCCTATGGTTACAGGGTCCATTGGCAGAAAGGTATGGACGGGCAATGCTGGACATGGATTAACATTGAAGCCGCGAAGGACATCCTAAAACATAGTTTAATGCAGTAGAACTTTCGAGAATTGAAATATCTATACGCAATCAAAATAACGCAGAACAATGCTAGACTAATGTTAGAATTGACGATACTTCAGAATTGTTTAGGATTATTCGCTAACGTGGTAGGCAGGGTACAATTTTAAAAAAATGCGACTTAGTTTCACTAATAGTTGCTGTGTACTCATTATTTGCATTATGGTACGCTGTCCAGCGTCCTTCAGAGGACAGCCGCCTGGCAGTGCGAAACAGTCTTTTCTTTCTGTTTCATAGCCGCCGGAGGTTAGCGCTAAACCAAGGTGCGTTAGCATTGCCTCGAATTTTCCTAGATGGTATGCATGTTTTAATCAACATTTTAACAGTTTTTAAACAAAATCCAATTAGACTCTACGGAGCGCTCTAAAAAGCGGGCAAAGAATCGTCAAGGAACTTGGACAGGGCCAAGTTAATTGAAGAAAAGTTAGCTCTGGGGCCCTAAACTCGTGAAACACGAAGTTGGAGCCGAAGTTGAGGGAGCGCACCGATTGGACAATCATGACGATGACTTGGCGCTTTTCTCGCCAACATCCAATCGGCGCGCTCCGCGAACTTTCAGCTCCAACTTTGTGTTTCACGAGTTTAGGGCCCCTGGTGTAATCACGAATAGTTTTACACCAGCTTTTGAGTTACAAGTAGAATACGTAGTGCAAAGTGGAAGACTGAATGCTCACTTATACCGGGTAGGTAGGTTATGGGTAATATAACGCTCGGGTGCGTAGACAGCACCATATCCAGTATATTTGACGATAGGGTTCTGACCCTATATTGGTGACTAGCTGTTTCAGTGGTACCCTCTTATACTTTCTATCTCTCACGTCACGACCAATATTATTAGTAGAGAGCGACAAGATCTATGTCGTGTGCCTATAGTCATCCCTTTCCTTAATCAACGCCGTCGGAGTCGAGAGTCTGACGTTGCTGTCATTTCCGTCGTGAAGAGCAGAAAGAATGCTACTGAAGAGTTTGGCCAATCGTGGAACGCCGATCACAGTGACGAATTTCGGTCGGGCTCGTGGCCAATGGGGGAGTTTGCCGCAATGATAGATAGGCAATGACAGGGTGTTTGTTGCTCGGAGAATGGACATTTATTTTTAGAAATCGCTGATTCGTGGAGTTTGGGCAGAGAATACTCTTGCCCACCCCGAGCGCTGACATGAGTCTCTCACGTAAAAACCTGTCATGGTCGCTCGTGAATTAATGAAACAAGAACATGTGTTTTGACAACAAAAGCATTGGAACCATTATTAAGAGAAAAAATATAGCTTGGTTGATTTCAGCGTATCGGTTAAGACAGTTAAAAATTATCATGAAGCATGTTATACAGAGCCTTAAGCCAAAGATTGATGCCACTCTAATGGCGGTACCGCAAAGATTTTTTACACAACAAAAACTGAACGTGTATGAGAGCAGGGAGGAGGTGGCGGAAAAATGACGGAGAAGTGACTGCTAAAATAATCATGCTATGTTCAGTGTTATACAGACCGCACGTGCAGGCGGCTTCAAACTTAATTTTCTAATGTAAATATCTAAAACAGGTAACACTTTGCAGGAGCCTTCGTCATGGCGTTATTTCAGTATTTGAACTTCTTTCACGAACAATGCGAGCACTTCAAAAGCGTGTAACTAAACCTCAACATGTTCCCATGATTCTTTTCTTTTAATTTCGCAAATTATTTGTAGACTTTTTTTTTTATTACGTTCTCTTATGGTGGATCCGAAAAAAATTGAAAAGTGGCATGCGCAAACGACACCAACCAAAGGTAAGTCCATCAATTGTATACAGTCTCTTGTAATTGAGTACTATGTCAGTTATAGACTTACCAGCTTGTTGGTGTTAGGTGCGCACGCCAATTCGCATTATTTTCAAATAGACCGTAAAAGGGCTTCATTTCTAAGGCGTTTATTACGTCACATTTTATTCAACATGTAAAAGAAGCGTGAATTGTGCGATTTATTTGTTCAGTTATGGCTATCAGAGCAAAAATCATTGAGCCTCTGTGATGGACCCTAGTTGGTTCTGACTTTTGAAAATCACCTATTCCCTGACTTTTCCGTGTTGTCTAACATTACGTCACAATCGCCAGGTGTCACCATATTCATCACGGCACAGGAGTATGTGTTTACAGAAACTATTACGCGCGCCGCTTCAAGGAAAGAATATTGCACTGTCGCCTCACCAGAAGCTGGGCTATCGCTGAACGTGCTGATCTTCTTCAACATGGCCACCGTCGAGTTGCCAAGGATGCAAGAGTGGGTGGACAGCTGGCAGCGGTATCCCTCGGGGCAGCAGCTGGCGTGGTCGCTGCAGCACTCGGCGTGGGGGTAAGGACAGCAGCCGAAGCGGCCTCCCGTGGTAAGGCAACACGTCTGGCCGTCTTGGCAGTAATTGCCGTCCGGGCAACGGACCCTCTCGACTGAAATGTATTGAACGCTTGACTTTATTCGAGACTCGCTTTGTGTTGACGGCTTCAGCAGGTTAAATAAAACATCGCATTTAAACGTATGCTAACTCATGCCGAATGCAGCGACGACGATGACGACGAGTGCTTCCTAAGAGCAGTGACCACCGACGACAGGGCACGACGTCAACGAGACGATCCTGAGCTGCGCGCGTTAATCGAGCACCTGGGAGGTTACGGGTGTGCCATGCCGCGTGTTTTCTCACGAGCCCTGCCGCCCTTTGCCATTAGACAAGGTGTACTCTACAAAGAGAACTTTGGATACAACAGCTCGCCGTGGCGGCTGGTAATCCCTACCGACCTTCGAGGGGAGATTTTTCAAGCATGTCACGACGACCTGACGTCCGGACACCTCAGTTACAGCCGGACGCTTGCCCATATTGGGGAAAGGTATTACTGACCCAGGGCTCCCCAAAATCGTCAACCTATAAACAGGATCATGCCACGAGTGCCAGCGACGTCAAAAACCTCCGACGAGGCCGACAGGTCTCTTACAGCCAATTCCTCCGCCAACTGCACCCTTCCAGCAGATCGGAATAAATCTACTTGGTTTTTTTCCGCAGTCAACGTCGGAAACCACTGTATAATCGTTGCCACAGATTATCTCATGCGGTAAGCAAAAATGAAAGCCCTTCCTCAGGTACTCCTTTTGAAGTCGCCAAGTTTTTCATCGAGCCCATTGTCCTCCGACACGGCGCTCCCGAAGTTCCTATTACAGATCGTGGATCATCGTTCATGGCATGGCTGACACAAGAAAACCTCCGGCTCAGTCACACCAGCCACCGTCATGCCACTGCGTACCACGCGCAGACCAGCGGGCTGACGGAGCGTCTCAACAAGGCAATCGTCGACATGATCTCTATGTACGTCGACGTCGAGCACAAGATGTGGGACAAGGTGTCGCCCTACGTCACGTTCACCTCAAAACAACACGGCGATTCAAGAGACCACTGGATTTACAGCTTTTCTTTCTGTACATGGTCAGAAGATCACGACCATGCTGGACAGTATGCTGCCCTATGAGCCAGCTGATGATGAGAGCGACGACGATATCACTTCTGATTTGGTCGTGTAATATTTTGTTTCTTGACGAGGCACTGCACAAAACATGAAGCGGTCCGGCCTTCAAATAGAGGTCACTGATACGCGTACCGCCATTCCGGTATGTGGTGCATGGCGCTTCTCATTCTTGTCTGAATTCATTAAAGTTTGACTCCGCCACTCAGACTGATCTCTGAAAAATTTTTCCCCATACTAACATGCAAGCCCTAGAGCAGTCATGTACTTGAAGAGTAGCTCCGGTGGCGGGATAAGCGCCTATTTTGTTTTGATCGAACTATTTGCTGATCTTACTCGTCGCAACGCTTTTATGTGAAACTAGCCACGTGCGATCAAAAATTCCTAATTTATGAAGTTAACTTCAACCTCGCTTAGAATAAAGCAGGCTGTCACGGAAACGTCAAAGATATATTTTGTTTTTGTTCTGGAATTAATCAAACGAATATCCTCACCAGGAACGGGTTCTTTCAAAGGGCTGCCTCCGATTGTGTCGATTTTCTTCAGCATGGGAAGCGTTGAGTTGCCGGCCACACACGACCGGGTAGACACCTTGCAGCGGTATCCCTCGGGGCAGCAGCTGGCGTAATCGCTGCAGCACTCGGCGTGGGGGTAAGGACAGCAGCCGAAGCGGCCTACCGTGGTAAGGCAACACGTCTGGCCGTCTTGGCAGTAATTGCCGTCCGGGCAACGGACCCTCTCGACTGAAATGTATTGAACGCTTGACTTTATTCGAGACTCGCTTTGTGTTGACGGCTTCAGCAGGTTAAATAAAACGTCGCATTTAAACGTATGCTAACTCATGCCGAATGCAGCGACGACGATGACGACGAGTGCTTCCTAAGAGCAGTGACCACCGACGACAGGGCACGACGTCAACGAGACGATCCTGAGCTGCGCGCGTTAATCGAGCACCTGGGAGGTTACGGGTGTGCCATGCCACGTGTTTTCTCACGAGCCCTGCCGCCCTTTGCCATTAGACAAGGTGTACTCTACAAAGAGAACTTCGGATACAACAGCTCGCCGTGGCTGCTGGTAATCCCTACCGACCTTCGAGGGGAGATTTTTCAAGCATGTCACGACGACCTGACGTCCGGACACCTCAGTTACAGCCGGACGCTTGCCCATATTGGGGAAAGGTATTACTGACCCAGGGCTCCCCAAAATCGTCAACCTATAAACAGGATCATGCCACGAGTGCCAGCGACGTCAAAAACCTCCGACGAGGCCGACAGGTCTCTTACAGCCAATTCCTCCGCCAACTGCACCCTTCCAGCAGATCGGAATAAATCTACTTGGTTTTTTTCCGCAGTCAACGTCGGAAACCACTGTATAATCATTGCCACAGATTATCTCATGCGGTACGCAAAAATGAAAGCCCTTCCTTCAGGTACTCCTTTTGAAGTCGCCAAGTTTTTCATCGAGCCCATTGTCCTCCGACACGGCGCTCCCGAAGTTCCTATTACAGATCGTGGATCATCGTTCATGGCATGGCTGACACAAGAAAACCTCCGGCTCAGTCACACCAGCCACCGTCATGCCACTGCGTACCACGCGCAGACCAGCGGGCTGACGGAGCGTCTCAACAAGGCAATCGCCGACATGATCTCTATGTACGTCGACGTCGAGCACAAGATGTGGGACAAGGTGTCGCCCTACGTCACGTTCACCTCAAAACAACACGGCGATTCAAGAGACCACTGGATTTACAGCTTTTCTTTTTGTACATGGTCAGAAGATCACGACCATGCTGGACAGTATGCTGCCCTATGAGCCAGCTGATGATGAGAGCGTCGACGATATCTCTTCTGATTTGGTCGTGTAATATTTTGTTTCTTGACGAGGCACTGCACAAAACATGAAGCGGTCCGGCCTTCAAATAGAGGTCACTGATACGCGTACCGCCATTTCGGTATGTGGTGCATGGCGCTTCTCATTCTTGTCTGAATTCATTAAAGTTTGACTCCGCCACTCAGACTGATTTCTGAAAAATTTTTCCCCATACTAACATGCAAGCCCTCGAGCAGTCATGTACTTGAAGAGTAGCTCCGGTGGCGGGATAAGCGCCTATTTTGTTTTGATCGAACTATTTGCTGATCTTACTCGTCGCAACGCTTTTATGTGAAACTAGCCACGTGCGATCAAAAATTCCTAATTTATGAAGTTAACTTCAACCTCGCTTAGAATAAAGCAGGCTGTCACGGAAACGTCAAAGATATATTTTGTTTTTGTTCTGGAATTAATCAAACTAATATCCTCACCAGGAACGGGTTCTTTCAAAGGGCTGCCTCCGATTGTGTCGATTTTCTTCAGCATGGGAAGCGTTGAGTTGCCGGCCACACACGACCGGGTAGACACCTTGCAGCGGTAGCCCTCCGGGCAGCAGGACGCGTGGTCGCTGCAGCACACGGCGTGGGGGTACGGACAACAGCCGTACCGGCCTCCCGAAAGCAGACAGCAGGTTTGGCCGTCTTGGCAGAAATTTCCATCTGGGCACCGGATGCTTTCGCCTGCAATGTGCCAGAGAGAGTTGATCATACTCAAAAATCAACGTGTTGAAGAAACAATTCCAGAGAGTTAAACTTTTCACAAAGGCATGGCATATTTGGGGGCGGTGCTTCTTGTTTGTTTGTGAAGTGGGAACATGTTGACTAAGAAACAAAAAGGACCTCTGGCGACCGAAGCCACTTTAAACAAGGCCTTTTGTATAGAAGCAGAATATTTTCTCATCTGTTTATTAGAGGCCGCAGACCGCGCGTGTGCGCAGAAACACGGCAACATCGACACTAATAAAACAGCTAGACTTGACAGTCCGTCAAATGCACTGAATGCGCGATAGCACTGAATAGATATTTTTATGCCACATTTTTTTAAGTGGTGCGGCGTACCGGTTTTGTAATTTACCCTGATAGTTTTCAAGCAGGCCCAACATGACTTTCTTGTTTATGGCGAAAGTTTCATATGATTCCCGTTCAATTGTGGTTGGTGTTTCTCGTTTTTTTTTTCTTCTGTGTACTGCACAATTTCTCTTCAGCTGCTCTTCCGCTGCCTTCTATTGTAAAATTATCATTGGCATAGCGGTATCCTGGTCACTGCTCCACGTTTCAACGGGAAACCTATTGAGCCGTTGTTACTGTTACCGTTAATGTATTAGTGGAGATTGTTATGATTAAAAAGATCAAAAACACCATTGCAGGGTGGAGCGTATTATTTCTTTCTTGCGCACTCAATCCCCTTCTTCTAGTAGGGCATGGTTTGCAAGATATTTTAACCCGCCAGCAAAGTTAAATGCAAAATGACACAATATTATGCAGCAATTTTATGAAGTATTAATTGCGTAGAGGGACACACGACAAATAGCAGATGAGGGCAAGTATCAAAATACTTGACTACCGCAGTGAAATTATGAACGTAACAGCGGAGTTTTGTTTTGTTTTCTCTCTCAGAAAACCTTGCTGACTATTGTGACCGAATACGGCCCAAAGATGGAACTGGAGCGTGTATCACCAGTCTCGATAACACCCTCGATAAGAATCCATCTCTCGGCAAGCAATTGGGGATCGTTTTTGTGGAAGTAAAGTCTCGATAACAAGCACTTGCTCTGAGCATTGTCCAAGTCGGGAACGAAGATGTAATCAACATTGACGGCCCGCGCCCGCACCGAGACACCTGAAACCTCGATGTAGCACGGAGTTGTGTAGGTTAACTCTGCTTAGTTGTATTAGTGTTTTCGCCTAAACAGTTAGCACGTAGGGACGTCAGTGAACGCATATCCTAGTTATTGTAAGCGTCAAATAAACGTCTAAACAAAATTTAGCAAAAAAAAATGGTTTGCCTTTTTTAGAATAGAACTTGATGTCGTAGTCGCTAGAAAATATATCAAATATTAACAAATAATTAAGCAACTGTAAAGGATACTTTCTCTAATTAGCGGAATCTTGCGCCACCTAGCCGTTGTAGCAACAGTTAAAGTCACAACGATGACCAAACCTATATATTGTCATAAATCAGTCATCTGAAATATAAACTCCCCAGTTCAATATAGGGAAGCGATTAATTTTTGAAGGAAAACAAAATCTTTTAGAAATAAATATATGATTGTTTAACTTTAGTACCTATTAAATATACTTGGGTGATTTCAGATAAGATCGACCAAAGGGTTACTAGTCGACATTTTCAAATCAACTGATGTTTTTATATGTTATTGTCTAGTGTCTGGTACGAACGAATCCAAACTTAGTTTTGACTAGAAAAAATACTTGGGGACAGGAAAAATCGTAATGCATGAGGTGGTGGACAGTTGCATTAACGCGCACTGATGGAGGGGGCCCGTTTGAGAGTGAATAACTAAAGCGATAACATTAGGAGAACTCTAATACGTTTTAGGCGCAAACTATGGGTATAGCTTGCTTGTAATATAAAGTAATCATATTTATTTAAGATTTATTTATTTTTCTAAAAATTGACAAACATGCCTGCTCGAACGACAAATGGCAAATTTTGGAGGTCTGTATCTCATGAAATAATTTAATCATTATGATATAATTTGCAGATATTATTCTACTAATATATAGCTAATATTTAAAAAATAACTAAGGTATCTGTGTGATACAATAGTTAGAATATATTTGGTCAAACAGGAAAAAAAAATCAAACAAAGAAAAATTCCGATGCGAATAAAAAAAAAAACACCACCCTCGATTTTTTTTAAATTTAGGTAACCTGTTATACTCTATTTCGGCATTCATTTCCATTAAAAACATGTTGCATCATTTTATTGAGAAAGAAGATACAACTCCCCAAAGTAGGGTCCTTTTTCAAAGACTACACTTAGCAGTGTTTTATACAAGAACCGACTCTGAGTTCCAGTTTCATGAAACCAACACACGTCTTTTATATATTTTTATTCAGATGAGGCCAATGATAACTAAAGAAATCGTTCACACACTTAAATTAAGGAGAAACTACTGTGTACAAAGAGGTATCATATTACGGACTAGTGATCCGAGAAAAGATCATGCAGCCATCGGCCACTAGGAACTTTGTTTACTTTATTCTCCTGCGACACTATATGCTATTCCCTCTTCCGCTCTACCTTCATCTCTCTCTCTCTCTCTCTCTCTCATATATATCCCTGATATATATCCAGAACAAAAACATGTTCAAGCATTCCCTTTCTGCGTGGTAGTGTTCTGTGGCTAGCAAAAATCATTTCCTCGCTAAGCTCACGATTATGGCAAAATAGTTGCCGGAAACCGCAGACGACACTCGTCGCTAGTTCTGGCAAAACGGCCGATACAATCTTTTTTTCGTATTTCCCCGCTCGCTGTCAAGGACAAGGGGGTTCGCTTCAACCAGCAAAACATGGCCGCCGACGCCTGTTTACTGAGCAGTCATGCCTGTCGCCATCTCACTCGCTGGCGCCACGGGCGATAATATCAGGCACAAAGGGGCACACCAACCGGCAGCATTATCCCCAAATACTCGAGCCTCGCGTAAATACATAGAGTGTAAACGCTGTCGCCATGTTATCGTAGTAAGACCGCCCCCCCCCCCCTCCCCCAACGGGGGACTGCAGTACGCGACGGCGTACTAACACAACGGCGACGATATCGACATCGCGGGCTCCGAATTTTCCCATAGTTCTACTCCACGGGCATTTCTCGAAACGCTTGATATTGTGTACGCCCGCCTGGAAGGATTTCAGGCGCGTAGTTAAGATAAGGCGGTTCTCCGCGGCAAAAGAAAGCAATTTCACAAAAGCTTAAAACCGGCGGCGACGCGTGTGCGGTGAACGCTTGTAGTTTTGGTGTAGACAGGGTGTGTGTGTTCTCGTTGTTGAAACCAGCCGGCGATAAGGCACTGCAGGCGGTAGCTCAGTACAGCAAGGGCTAATCCGAGTGACCATCAACGTAACCCCACCGCCAACCCCTCGCGAACCGGTCGCCGACATGGCTCAGGCTGTGTCATGAACCACGTGGTAGAAGCTCGGGTGCTTTCATATCAGCGCGTGGAGGGACGACAGTGCGATTCCGGAAAGTCTTTTTCGAAGGCCGCTGACCACAATTTTTTGTCTGGAGACTTTCCCTCTTTCTTCCTTTGACGTTGATCAAGCTTTGCCGACAGCCTCAGTTGTGACCTCTCTTTTCAAATGTACGTTTGCAGTGAGTGAGCTCCTCAGCCTCGGACTTGTCACTTGTGCACCCAGTAGTTCTTTCACTTGGCCATTATATGCCATCAGTTGGGGTTTAATTTCTATTATTTATGTATACATTATGAAGACGTCCTGGAGCTCCGAACGAGTGTTTTGTGCAGATTACTTTTGCAAACACAAAAAGACTATACCAAAGCAGCGGAATTTTCGAAGTGTTGGCGAGTTGGACCTAAACTCGTTGAAGCAAATTCTTCCGCCTGACTGTTCCACCAAAGTGAGTGCGACGGACTACCTGTGCTACCATTGCTTCATGCACAACACTAAGGAGATCTCGATGCGAAGCTCAGAGCAGTGCCCTGACATATTTGTGCCAGCTGAAGAAGCAATTGAAGATCTAAATCGCAGCATCCTCCGGGATATCAAGTTCCTGGAGTGTAAGAAACTGGCCTTTTGGGCAGTGATCACAGTCTCCTTGAAGGCACAGTTCTGTTGCTGGGTCGCACAGAAATGCCGAGTTCATTTCACCAGTGTTGAATGTTGAGCCTGTAACGTTCTCTAGAGCGGAAATACAAAGATAATAATTGGCGCAGCGCACACAAACGCACACTTCCTGGTGTGGAATACATTGGACCCATCTAGGGCGCAACGAATAAAATTTCGTTAGCCCAACGCCGGAATCGGGATGCTTGTCTTTGTATATAAAGAAAGACAGTTCTGTCTGCTTTCTATAAGAGAAAGCAGACAGAACTGGAGCAGGTTGCTGTCAAGAATATACGCTCAAGGCTACGTATTGCGTACGACAGGGACGCACCGTCGGGGTCGTCCGAACCAACATGCTCCACATGCACTGAGTGGGTGGACAACTTTCGGCAGGCCTTTGAAACCGCCACCTCTCTCCGGGAACGTTGTCAACTGCTTACACTCCTGCCGTCAACACTGACGAAGAATGAGGTTCAAAAGATGATTCCACAGGCGTCAATGTACCTCATCAGTAAATCCCGAAAACTCAAGGAAAAGCATGGCGTGTGGTATGAGCCGGATCCTTACACGAGGTGCAAGGTGAGCCCTGAGAACCTGTCTGCTGCCCTAGAGTACTTCACGAAAGACGAGCTACAACGTTCGCGCCAAAGTCCCAACCAGAAGGACGTCATCTCTGTCATGCTCAACGGAGAGAAAACGTTCGTGCCAAAGCGCTTCATGACACGCTCAATACGAGAGGCCTTCCGTGTATACAAAGACAAGCATCCCGATTCCGGCGTTGGGCTAACGAAATTTTATTCGTTGCGCCCTAGATGGGTCCAATGTATTCCACACCAGGAAGTGTGCGTTTGTGTGCGCTGCGCCAATTATTATCTTTGTATTGCCGCTCTAGAGAACGTTACAGGCTCAACATTCAACACTGGTGAAATGAACTCGGCATTTCTGTGCGACCCAGCAACAGAACTGTGCCTTCAAGGAGACTGTGATCACTGCCCAAAAGGCCAGTTTCTTACACTCCAGGAACTTGATATCCCGGAGGATGAAGAGATTGTGCTTGCAACATGGGAGTCCGGCGACCTTGTGAAAAAAACTTTGGAACCTGCGGCTTTCCTAAAAGTCATCAAAGTGACGGTTGGAAGTTGGTTACTTCACAACCATATCCGGCAAACGCAAGGTAAAGCGATCTACGATGAAAAACAGTGCCTGCAACGCGGGAGCATTGTCTTTCATTTTGACTTTGCTGAAAACTGAACCATCGTGCTTCCTGACGAAGTGCAAGCATATCACTGGAAAAAAAAACAAGTTTCGATATTTACATGTGTAGTGACGACAAGAAAATCTACAAACAGCTTTGCCATCATCAGTGAGGACCTGTGTCACGACGCCGCTCACGCTTGCTTGGCTCTAGAAAAAGTGAAGGAGTGGGTTGAAGACAACGTTGCGGTATACTCGTACGTGACGTACGTAAGTGACGGCGCCCCCAGTCATTTCAAGAATCGCTACCAGCTTCACCAATTTGCAAAGGACGATTGCCCACAAGCCCAGTGGTTATTTTCTGCATCTGGACATGGGAAAAATGCATGTGACGGAGTTGGAGGACTCGTGAAGCACCAGGCCACGCTGAACAACTGAGAGAACGTTCAGTAAGCGCAATTCAGACGGCCAGGACAATGGTGAGCGTTCTATCAAAGAAACTGAAAGGCGTGCATCTTGTATATCTGGACGAAAATGAGGTTGTTCGGTATCGTGAACAAAAAAAAGAAGAGTGGCTGACGCTGCGCGCCTTCCCTGGCATTCAGTCTTGGCACGCGTGGCGGCTCAGCAAGTCATCAACAGAAGGGACCTGTGACGTATATGTAGCACGGACAGTCGGATCTGCTTGGAAGCAACTTTATTAAATGGGTACAGCGAGGAAAACCTTAGCGTAAAGTGCCGAATTTGATTTCCCAAGGACTGCTCATTTTGAATGCAGGGACATCTTATTTATCACATTTTTCTTCACGGGGTATTTAACCTACTGTTTTTGTTGGTGGTTACTAATAACTTTTATCTGATCACTATAAAAAAAAATCCCAAAATGTTATCCTCGACCAGGATAAAATATATCGGCTTGCCACGATTCATTCATACACCGAGAGCATCGAAGCTGCTCCAGTTAGGCACTATGGCATCCGTCACCTGAAATTGTTTGTAATCGTAAATACACAGCCAACCTAAATATCTTACTATTATATCTTTGTTTTTGTGTGTGGAAGTAAAGTTATTTATTTTACTCTAGATGTAAAATATACCGGAAGGTACAACTTCACACTGCATCATCTTTTCTCAAATCATTAGTCTCTAATATGATACCACTTTGTACGCTTATGTAAAATGCTGTATATAGTTTCTCCTCCCTTTTACTGTGTGACCGATCGCTCTTTTTATCAATGACCTCATCTGAATAAATGTATATAAAAGATTTGTGCAAGTTTCATGAAACTGGAACTCAGAGTCACTTCTTGTATAGGACACTGCTAAGTGTAGGCTTTGAAAAAGGACCCTACTTTGGGGAGTTGTTTCTTCTTTCACAGTGCAATGATGCAACATGTTTTTAATATAAATGAATGCCGAAATAGAGTATCACAGGGTACCCAAATTTTAAAAAAATCGAAGGTGGTGTTTTTTTTTTTATTCGCATTGGAATTTTTCTTCGTTTGATTTTTTTCCCATGTTTGCCTAAATATATTGTAACTATTGTGTCACTCAGATACCTTATTTATTTTTTCAATAATAGCCATATATTAGTAAAATAATGTCTGCAAGTTATGTAATAATGATTAAATTATTTCATGAGATACAGATTTCCAAAGTTTGCCATTTGTCGTTCGAGCAGGCATGTTTGGCAATTTTTAGAAAACTAAATAAATTTTTAATAAATATTCTTTATATTACAAGCAAGTTGTACCCATAGTTTGTTTGTAAAAAGTTTTAAAATTCTCGTAATTTTATTGTTTTAATTATTCACTTTCAAACTTGCCCCCTCCATCAGTGCGCGTTATTGCAACTGTCCACCTCTCCCTGCCTTACGATTTTTCTTGTCTCCAAATTTTTTTTCTGGTCAAAACTAAGTGTGGATTCGTTTATACCAGACACTAGACAATGTCATATAAAAACATCAGTTGATTTAAAAATGTCGACCAGCCACCCTTTGGTCGATTTTATCTGAAATCACCCACTTATAGCATTCCTTCTCTACTTTTTGCCCTAAACGATGGTTGCCGGTTTCGAACCTGACCGCAACGTTCTCTTTCACCGATTGCCCAACCGACTTGGTGACGAGACCTAGAATAATAACAATTAATCTGTATGCTTACTTTTAAGGCAGCAGGCAGGCGTTCTGAACAGTGAGGAATTTGGACGAGGAGAAACTAAAACCACTCTTCCGATTTGATCGTGTAGTATTTTGTTTCTTGACGAGGCACTGCTCCGAGCATGAAGTGGCCAGGCCTTCAAAAAGAGATCACTGTCACGGGTACCTCACTTCCGGTATGCGGTGCATAGCATTCCTCAGTCTTGTCGGAATTCATTGAAGTTTGACTCCGTCACTCAGATTCACCTCTGAAACTTTGGTTCCCATACTTTGCTGATCTTACTCGTCGCAACGTTTCAATGCGAAACCAGCCATGTGAAGTCAAAGATTCCTGACTTATGAAGTTAATTTCAACCCCACTTTTAAAAAAAATAAAGCTGCCAAGAAAATGCCATAGATATATTTTTGTTGTTGTTCTGGGATAAATCAAACGAATATCCTCACCAGGGGTGGGTTCTTTTAAAGAGCTTTCTCGGATTGTGTCGATTTTCTTCAGCATGGGAAGCGTTGAGTTGCCGGCCACACACGAGCGGGTAGACACCTCACAGCGGTAGCCCTCCGGGCAACAGGACGCGTGGTCGCTGCAGCACACGGCGTGAGGGTACGGACAACAGTCGTAGAAGCCACCCCCAAACATACAGCAGGTTTCCCCGTCCCGGCAGAAACTTCTATCGGGGCACCGGACGTCTTCGACTGCAATGTGCCAACGATGACTGATCATATTCAGAAACCAACTTGTTGAAGAAACAAGTCCAGCGAGTTAAATTTTGCACAAATGTATGGCACATTCGTGGGCGGGGCTTCTCATTTGTTTGTGAAGTGGTAATTTGTTGGCCAAGAAACAAAAATGGACATTTGGCCACAAAAGTCACTTTGAACAAGCACCGCTTTTATAGGAGGAGACTAGCTTCTCATCGATTTATTAGAGGCCGCAGACCGCGCGCTTCCACTTACCCTCCAAACACGTTCAAACGGAGGACGCCGGCGTTCGACGTTTGGCGTCCGCGTGAAAATGCGTTCTAACAGTGAGAAGCAACAAGGGCAGCTGGCTGGTGGGTGCACTGGCGTCCACCGCGCGCTTCCATCTTCTGCTCTTCCTCAGTTTCTACCGATAGGGGAATGGTGTGCAATGGACACGTGGCGAAGGTATTGTGAAAAGAATTTTTCATTCATGCACCTCTTCGTTGGGGGAACTGCATCACTTTCCCTAAGATGCCGCCGCGCATACGAATGACACCCTCACCCATGGCCCTGCTATGATGCAACCGACATCAACACTAGCAAGCTAGGGTTGTGCAGGGTTTTCATACGACGATACCACTTCAAAAGGCACTCACCCGCTGGCGCGTTGGGACCCAGCTGCTGTGAGAGTACCATAGGCGTCAGCAGTGTCTCGACCTTCTTGGTGGTTGTGCTTATCTGGAGGCAGGTCCCGTTAGACATGTTGCAGTGGTATCCTTCCGGGCAGCAGTGCAGGTGATCGCTGCAGCACACGGCAAACTGGTACGGACAGCAGCCATACTGTCCGCTGTTCTGGAGGCAGCAGGTGGTGCGGTCCGGGCACAGGGCTCCGTTGGGGCAGCGCACAAACGTCACCTCAGCTCCTAAATAGCCACCGAATAGATGAAAAATCACCGTATTGACGTGAGTTCACCTGGATGTCAGTCCGCCTTTGGAGGGCGTCTTGTACGTTTGTGCTATCGAGAGACGGTGCAGCCAGTGAAGTACGATTGCCGGCGTGGGGTTATTTTGCGAGCACCTCAGAGTACGCGAATGTACTCCTGTATACAACGCTTGTTAATCTCAAGAATGGAAGTAGTAGGAATATAACTTATGCATGGTGTATGAGCACGCGGAGGGAGCTTTTCTTGTTGTTGTTGTGGATTGCCTAGTTCTATGTTGTACAACTTGACTTCTACTAATCGCACTTTCCAGTCAAATCTAGCATAACCGTAGGTAGCATAAGCTAACATAATCTTAACAACTAGACAAACCAAACTTTACGCCACCTTATCTAACATATCCCAATTACAGATATTATAACCTAATCTTCCATAAGCTTACGTCACATAAGATATCCATAACTTATAGTTATCTAGTCAAACCTAAACTAGTCTAGCCGAACGTAGTCTTACGTAATCTAAACAACTCTAATCTTAGTTAACCTCTATGAAAACCTAATCCAATTTTGGGTAATCTAAATTAACCAAATCTTAGATATTCTCATTTCCTTACCTTATCTACAGCTCCGTGTAAGTGTACGTAACCTAACCTAGCGTAATCACAGTTAACCTAACTGAACTCTGGCATCGTCGTTAGCACTGTCGCCTTCACCGTAATAATTAAACCCGAGTCCCACCAGCGCGACAGACAGAAACAACCAACACCGAAAAGCCCCAAGCATGTGCAGCGAGCACGCAAATGTATATTTTCCAAGCTTCCCATCGCTCGTGCTTACTTAAAGATCGACGATCAGGTCTCGCTTTCCACTTTTGCCTCGCTTCCCCCTTTCCCCCTTCTATATCCTCTTCATTTTTGCCTGTTTCCTTCTCCTTCAGGGTGAGGAGGCTCTTCTGTATTGCAGAATCTCAAGTCTGGCAGGCGGCCTTTAGCGAGCATTGAGACGGTGCAAGCCTCGTGTGCGTGCTGCACGTGCTTTGGGCTTCTCGGTGTTGGTTGTTTCTGTCTGTCATTCTAGTGGGACTCAGGCATTAGACATTCGTATTATCATGTAAGGTTAGGAAGTAAAAAACTTTCAGCGTTTGCACTCTGGTGAAGGAGGAAGACCAGCGAGGCTTTTCTATGGTGGGAATGAAGAAATGGCCTGCCGCAAGTCGGCAAGCCAGAGTGGAAAGGCTGGAAAGGTTGCCGCAATCTACAAGCGACGGTGGCAACCAGACAATCGGCAAGCCGGTTGTCTAGTTGCCGCCGTCGCTTATAGAAGGCGGTAGCTGTCAAGAGTTTTGTGTCATTATTTGTTTGCTGGCGGACATGGTACTGGGGAAACTAGCTATTAACAGCTCCGCTGTAAAAATCGGTTCCATCAGACCTGAAATTACACGCAGTGTATATCAATGTTTGGTGAACGACATGCTAGTTCATTCTTTGCCGAAAAGGGTTTCCAAGAGAAACACTATCACCGGTGAGGAGTCAGTTTTGTTTTATATATTGATACACATAGGTAGTCCGTACCCCTTACAAGAGAAAAACATGAACAGAAAAATCTGGGAAACCCCTACATATATTTTTTTTTTACGACCGAAGTTGTTTTTTTTTTTTTATTTTGAGCGTGCAAGCTGCTTTTACTGGGACAGTTTGGCAGGCTTCTCAGTATGCTGAAATTCTAGCAACCACGGTTGGAAGCCTGGCAACCGGGAAATGGTATGTTCCCTCCGCCATCTTGTGTCATTTATTCGTAACTATTCATGACTTCCTCTTGATGCAATAGAACGCTATACTGTGGCTTACCGCGAAGTAGGCTTCTTCTAGCGGGCCTTATGCTCTGCCCGTCAGGCATTCCCTCGCCTTATAAACGGTCCTTTGTGCGTATTGTCCCGCCGTCAAGTGCACTGTAAAGACGCTATTGGCGATTTAAGGTAGGAGTAGGATACAATGAGAGAAACCAAATACGTCTTGCAGCGCTAGGTTACTGAGCATGACGTTTACATGCTCATCTAACGTTTGATGTGTGCGGTAAGTAAATTCAGCAAAATTATGTTCACCAAAGTTACGTCATAAGTAATGTGAAAAGCCCTCATACTTCGGTATCAACGTGTTCTTTTTGTGTGCACTATCCTCTCGGCTCACATTCAGCTCTGGAAACTGTATGCAGCATTTACATTGAGGGTCATTCCAGATTATCTCACTGCCTCCGGCTCAGCCGCCGTGTCTCCTTGTATAATTATCTTCTCGTCGCATGCTTCTGTGTCACTTCGTGCGATATCTCTTCTGCGTTCGGGTGGAAGCTCAAGGGGGAAGATATGCGGCTTCCGGAAAGATTTACTCTCCGCGAAACGCGCGCACAACAATCATTTGCGAAACCTTAAAGAAATGGCGATTGACGTTAAGGTGCAGATAAAACATATACCTAAAGTTCATTGATACTGCAGATTCAGAGCCTTCATATGCAGATGAGATGCCGAGGAGCGTTGTCACTCTTTCCGCGGCATTCGTTTTACACATTTGTTAAGATGCCTAGGATGGCGACTTGAATGAACGTGTGATGGAGTCGTTCTAAAATTGACAGAACTCAACGCGTACCTAAGAGTGAAGGTAAGACGCTTAGTGGAGAGATCAACCCTTGGCCTTGCATAGTGTGGCTGAATTTTGAAAAATAAATGTTCCGGCCAGCACAGGCACTGAGTGTGCGCACTCGTGTGGGCGTATCCGACGGTTGGTAATTGATTTGAGCACGAATCCTGTGTTTCAGCCTAGCTGGCTAGTGCGACGCTCTCCGAATGATAGATATACTAGAAAGATGTCCAAGTGCGTGAGATAGTCTTGATAGCTCATATATGTTATGTTATAAAATCCTGAGCAACACCACTAAGAGATTGTGACTTGAATATAAGGATGGGCTTTAAGATATTGTTTTAAATATTCTTTTTTTAAGTATAGCAGATTTTATTTTTTCGTTGAGCAAAGATGTATAGCAGTAATACACACCCTGACCAGTTAGTATTGCACAATCAGCCGTACAGAAGTGGTAACAGCTCAGTATGAATTATTGTAATTCATGTCTAAAATATTATTTCCTATCAGAAAAAAAAAATATTTTTGGGTCACGTACCTTCAGTAAAAGCCACAGCAAGGGCCAGCACAATCATCATTCCACTGGTTGTCATGGTCTGGAAAACGTGGGAGGCTTATCAGCTTGTGTTACAAAAGAACAAGACATCATTAAAATTGCTATTTATAACAAACGGTTATGGAGCAGGTGACAAAAATAAATATGTATCAATATACATTTGTTGTATACATAAGGTAATGCACAATGTTTCGTAATATTAGTATTCGTACATTCACAAATTTTAAATTTCTTCTGCAAACTTCACCCTCATTTGTTAAAAAATAGTTTAAGAAAATGAAACAGTTCTGGTGAAAAAATTGGTAATTACCGACTCCAACCGCAGGCAAGTCTCGTAATGCTTAGACAAGTTACTCGGGACCTAGCTCACTTCTGGAGTTCCCGCAACATGAAAGAGTTCACCAAAGAGCAAACACACCAGCAACTCATTCAATAAACCCGAAGCTTCCCAGCTACCTCAAACAGGTATCAGCCGTAGTCACATAAACGGCCGAAATAAAACATTCACGGTGAGAAACACCCGAATCCAGTGTCCGCCAAGCACGAAAAACACCCCTCGAGTCCTTTCCTAAACTCCGTCTATCTAAAGGCAAGCTGGATCCCAGACAACGCGCCTCTCCCCGCTTTTAACGTCATCGTTATCTCTTTCTCCCCACCCCCCCCCCCCCCCCTACGGCCACCTCCTCTTCACAGCCCTCCACTTACAATCGCCGTCGCCCACCCTTCAACCTTCTCAGATGCACACGTGACTTTAGGCCTGGGCTTCTCACGAGCACTCACCCATAGCAGCAGTATCGGTATCTGATTGCAGGCACTGGTGAAAGCTGCCTCTGGGGATGTGGTAAACTTTTGCCGGACCTGAGGATTGGCAGGATCGGAAAACCTTCAAACTTTTGCAAAGCTTGATGTAGTTCGTCTTTTACTCCAAATGTCAAATATTAGAAAGAAAAAAAATTTATGAAGTAGTTTAAGTATTATATTTATGAAGTAGTTTAAGTATTATATTTATGAAGTAGTTTAAGTATTATATTTATGAAGTAGTTTAAGTATTATATTTATGAAGTAGTTTAAGTATTATAAGTGTCAGAATATGAAAACTAATATTTATGTAATGGACATTGTAAGTTCGACATCACCGCTCCACACAAACCGTTTCTAGGGGTGTGGTTATGGAGGAATACATAGGATTGGATTTCGTTCTGTAAGAACGTTGGTTCAAAAACGGTCGTGGGATTTAAACGTCTAAAAATAGATTTAGGAAGCCTCGTTTTCACACTTACACACTACAGATGTTTGCCGATAGAACTTCAGATTTGACGTTGGTTGTTCATGATGGTTCACGTTACAGCGCCCTCGAACTCGAAAAACTGTCGCTCAAAATTCCAGACACAAAAAAAACGCTCTCTGCGTGCGTGCGTGCGTGCGTGCGTGCGTGCGTGCGTGCGTGCGTGCGTGCGTGCGTGCGTGCGTGCGTGCGTGCGTGCGTGCGTGCGTGCGTGTGCGTGTGCGTGTGCGTGTGCCTGTGCGCGTGTGTGTGTGTGTGCGTGCGTGCGTGCGTGCGTGCGTGCGTGCGTGCGTGCGTGCGTGCGTGCGTGCGTGCGTGCGTGTGCGTGTGCGTGTGCGTGTGCCTGTGCGCGTGTGTGTGTGTGTGCATGTGCGTGCGCGTGTGTGTGTGTGTGTATGAGCTGGAGCGACAGTTTTTTTAGCGCGATGTAACATCGACCATCAAGTTTGCCGAGCATCAGGTAAGTTGACATATGTTACGGGCAGATTGTTTGGTCACACAAATGATCACTGAAGCCCTTTCTGTGCAGTAATAATAACTTAAAGCGCGTGCTGGCCTGCACTTTGACGCTGATACACTTCACGTCGTCATCGTAATTTATGATACTTTCAAGATGACATTCTGTTTTCACCCTACTCACTGAGATATCGATGCCTCTTCCGCAAGAGTCCGCGCGCTAACTCGAGTAACTTGAGAGTCGATCAAGGCTGTGCCCGGGCACTCTTGCGCTTCCAAAATAGCACAGAAAGCTGTCTCCGAGAAGTATAACATGGCGTAAGTGTAACAACGCGTAACAACGAAGACTGCGAGAAAGAACACACAACACAGGACGAGCGCTGACTCGCAACTAAATGTTTAATAGGGAAAACAGAAACCAGAAAAGCATAAAAGGCACACTCAATCACGCAAGCGCCACACAAACTGTCTCGTCACAAAGGGACATCATCGATCAGGGCATCGCTACCCCCCCCCCCCCCTCCCCCCAGTTTTCCCCCAGTTATAGTAAAAAAAAATCATTTCTTTTTTCGATAGCGACACCAATGAAATGCTGACAGATTGCCCTCCGCAATTAACAATGTTAAACGCCTCTGTCACTTTTCTCGAAACCTTATCTCGGTGTTTTTCGAAGATAACGGCCTCGTCGAAGGACGGTTTGCACTTGCAAGTCCCGCAGTGCACCGATAGATTACCGCGGACCGTAGCTCTCAGCGAATAGTCGTGCTACCTGAGCCTGCCGTTTAAGCATCTACCGGTTTCTCCAATAAATACCTTCCCACAAAAGAGGGGTATCTTGTATACGACATCCGAGGTACAAGGCACATTACGGTTTGGCATGCTCTTAGCTACAACTGTTTTTTGGCAGCCCCTCTGCTTTCGAGTTGACCACCGAGCAAATGTGACTCATTCTCTGGGGGGCGGAAAGGACAACCGGGATGCCATACCGGCCTCCTACTTTTTTTTTTTTCAGATTATGAGATATCTTTTTTTTTTTTGTCACCTTATCTCGGCGCTTTCCTAAGAAAGCGGTATTATCGAAGGACGGTTTGCACCTGCAAGTCCCTCACTGCAAACCGTCCTTCGATGAGACCGCTATCTCAGACCGCTATGTTCCACCAGCTAGCCCAGCTCTCTACTTTGTTTCCGAGAAAATAAACTTGGTCGTCATCAACCTAACGCAACGCAGTCGCGTGCTTCATCAGAAAGAACCATTGGACCCGCAAAGTCATCACGTTGTCTGCTGGCAAAAAAAAAAACGGTTGTAAAACTATACTGTGGGTTTCTATGATCGCTTTATAGGACTAAGAAAAAAGAAAAAGTAATAATAGTTCGATATAGAGAAGACACCATGCTTACGGAAACTTATTCCCCTTTTTATTAGACAAATTCTAACCTCGTGTCGAGCTCCCATGCATTTGTCCAGAGCAACGGCCTAGCAACGGTTTGCTTGGAGCAGCGCGCCATGTTGTGATGTTATTACTTACAAGGTAAATATCAAAACTATTGTTTTATTATTTATTTAGTTATTCGCTCTTTTCTGCAAGGTGCATCAACTTGTTCTCACTTTCTGCTCATGCGCATACGAGCTGAATGAATTTCAGTAGAAATTTCGTCGAACTTTCGAAAAGATCGCACCTGGTCAAACTCAAATTTGACATGTTCACAACACTTCTAGTCAATTCTTACGCCTGTTAAGACTCTATGACGCCCAACATGTCTCCAAGGTTGAGCGGTTCATATAGTGCTTCCCTCAGCAAAAGGACCCAACCCGATACACTGAAATCGTCAACGCTGGCGCACGTCCCAAGTTTGCTGGGAGTGCCACCTCTGTTAATTCGACATGCTGTTTTATATACTACGAATTGAAAGCTTTTTAAATGCAAAATCTTGAATTCGAGTGTTTATACCTGCGAGTAATAAAAATGCAAGCAAAACGAAACATCAGCTTGTCCTGAACTTGCATGAATGGTTCCGTTTATTGATCAATTCCTCAGCCGGCGTTTTGCTACCACCGTAAGAACTGCACAAACCGGTCGCCGGGGGGTTGTATATTTAAGCCTACAATTGGTACCTTTAAAGAGATACTTCAACGAAATTTGAAATATTCCCGCCATGTTCAAAACTAGGTTGAATATGAACCACAATATCTGTAAATGACAATCGCACGTTTGTATTTTGAGACTGGTGGCTCTATTTTTCGTTATAAACGGCCCACTCTGGCAAGCGCTCGCAGAACAGCTAGCGGAGACCACGTGATATCCGACGCAATCGTGACGTAGTTCGTCTCGGGACGAGCAAAGCTACGGCGATGCTGATGTCGAGAGGATGGCCTAGTCGTTCCCGCCACCGAAGTGGCTGCTTTTGTACGAATTTTCAATGACGGGTTAATCTTCTATAATCTTGTAGAGGACAATAGCGACTTCTGGGACACACAAAAGGAATACCCGGGAGGAGGGGAGTTCCTCCGTCCCCTCTTCTCTCGTCGTGGCCGGAGGCGAGACACTCACCGTCACTAGCTGTCAAGGTTCCTAGAAGGGCATTACAAGCGAGGCGTTGCCGACATCCACCAGGTGTTCTTTGCTAATCGTTCAATTCGTTTTAAAATTTATTTTCGTGACTTTTTTAACAAGATATTGTTGTTTTCGATGTGATACTGCTTTTTTGAACACTTTTAGACCAAAAACCGAGCGCCGAAATTTCGTTGTAGTATCCCATGAATAGATAAAAACTTTTCTTCAACTTCGTTTTAGAATATTAAGCTGGGTTGAATGCACACTTTTGAGGGAAGACGGCCTGCCAAGCCAAACCAAATTAGACGTTCGTGTTTAGAAAGAGAAAATTTGATCTGCCTTTGTTAAATTGCGACATTCTTTTACGCTGTAGATGATGGGGCATTGAACGTGCACCGCGCAGCTATACGCCACCGCAAGCCGGTAGGATGCCCATCCTAATTGAAACGGGTAGGGGTGGGCACTGAACCCAGAATCCCTGGGTGCTGCGCAGAGATAGAAGGAATTATATTACAGTAATGAAATCAGTGTAATCAAATTACTTTTGATTGTAACAAGTAATGAAGTTAATTACTCTTTCTGGGAAGGTAATTTAGTAAAATAGTGAATTACGTCCAGGCGGTCATTTTGAAAAAATAACTTGTTACTTTTTTTTTCGCGATGCCTATTTGAGAGTAAGGTCTGTGACGCGGAACTTAGGAGCGAGACAGACACACAAACGTAGGGTGGAAAGATAAAGCGGATAGAGAAACCTTTTGATCTGAAGACATGACTGGAGGGCCACTGGTCACAGAACTCCAGACAAGACGGATTTACGGCATCACGTCAGTGGGGATATGCTACCAGGGCACGCTTCTAAGATTATCAACACATTTTAATACCTGAGTCCAGGAGTTACGAGTTAATTTTATATTCCTTGTCAATGTTCCAGAACTTTTCGTGACTGGCCTTGTCTTTTAAGAAAAATATGCGTTTGAGGTCTGAAACAACAAAAGACGAGCAAAGCAGCGCCGTGCAAAGTAGTGTATAATGAACTGAAGTGGCGAAGCGGGTGAGTTGGTTCATGACTTATAAAATTTAAAGGCGCTAACAAGACGAGGACAAAAAGGAAGGCAAACAGCGCTCGTCCTGTTCGCCTTCCTTGTTGTCCTCGTCTTGTTAGCGCTTTTAAATTTTATTAGTGTATATTCTTGCTTCACTTGCGGCATGCTTCTTTGCATTGTCCTCTGCCTCCACCTCGGGGAGTTTCGTCAGGGTAAAGCTGGCGCTAATGTTGCCGCTCGCTCTTTGAGGAAGAAAATATTTTAGAAGACGCCCG